AATGAAAGTGTTGGGGAAGGAGAACATCCAGCGGGAGCAGAGGGAGGCGATCCCATAGCTGATGGTATGGTATCCTTCCAGATGATGTCACGGTATCCTCTCGTACTGAGGTTACCTCTCCCGGGGAAGGGACCCCTGTTATGCGGAAGAGACAGGTCATAGTCCTGGGGGATTTGATTATTAGAAATATAAATAGTTGGGTTTGTGATGACTGGGAGAACCTCATGGTGAATTTTCTGCCCCCTCTTGAGACAGCTAGACAGACTTAGGTGCCATGCTGGGGAGGAGCTGGTGGTTGTGGTACACGTACATACCAGTGACATAGGGAAAGGGAGGCAGGAGATCCTGGATACCAATTTAGGCTGACAGGTAAGCGATTAAAGTCCAGGACCTCCATGGTAGCATTTTCTGAAATGCTTCTAGTTTCACATGCAGGGCCAGCTAGACAAGCAGGGTCTCAAAAGCGTGGATGAGACGACGGTGTTGGGAGGAGAGATTTCGTTTTCTTAGGAACTGGGGAATCTATTGGGAAAGGAGAAGCCTATGCAGGAAAGACGGGCTCCACCTAAACCAAAATGGAACCAGACGGCTGGCATGGAAAATTAAAAAGGTCAGAGAGGCGGAGGACAGCCCACAGGTGCGGAGGAGCACACAGTCTGGGTAGACCCATCCCTCAGGGGAGGATTTATTAAAGGGGATGCTCCAGATCAGTGGCTCTTAAACTTTTTTACTGGTGACCCCTTTCACATAGCAAGCCTCTGAGTGCAACCCCCTCTTGTAAATTAAAAACACTTTTTTATATATTTAACACCATTATAAATGCAAAGTGAGATTTGGGGTGGAGATTGACAGCTCATGACTCCCTGAGGGGTCCTGACCCCCAGTTTGAGAACCCCTGCTCTGGATCCTAGGAAAGAAGAGAGGATAGACGTTGATAAAGTACAGGTAGGAACTGAAGGAAAACAATCAAACAAAAGCCAGTCCCATTGCAATTAAACAGCCCCTTCGCCCAAACCCTGCGAACCCGAGTCAGCTGGCACGGGCCTGCCGCGGGTTTTTAATGGCAGTGTAGACATACCCTGCGTTTCTCTCTGAAATGCTGGATTGTGCTGGCTCCTCCCCCTGGTCAGAACAGAACCGATCCCAAGGTAAGCATCCGAAAGCATCATCTGATTTATTCCCGTTCAGCTGGGGCTGGAGAGAGAATCCGAACTTCCCCAGCTCCTGGGAGAAAGTCCTTGAGGAACTTGCAGTTATGGTCTTTTCATTGATGCTGAGTGACCCTGACAGGCTGTCACAGCACTTGTGATAACTCAGTCTCTTTCCAGTTGAATGGTGCGGGACACATCTGTACAGATGCCAGCTGTATACGGCTCAGCTGCATTCTTCCCTTACCAGCTGACGGTGTCTTTTTTGTGTGTGGCCCTTTCATTAAGCCACCCCTTTGCAGTGATTGTAACCGATGCAGGCTTTACCCCCTCCATGCCGACAGCCTGTTATTATCATGACCATCATTCACATTATTTAGACGGAGCCTGAAATGCGCCGGACTTTTTTCGGTGCAAACAGAACAGACGTGACTTCATGCCTGCCCAGCAAAGTTTGTGATCTAATTTTAAACACGATGAAAGAAGGTAATGCGACCAACAATAGCTGGGTGGGTGGGAAGAATTGAGAAAGGACAAGGGTTATGCCAGTGTTCCCTCTAATTTTTTACATACATGTGTGGAGTGAATTTTGTTATGTGCACCAATATGGAGGTGATGTGTGGCGGGGTGGGGCCGAGGGGTTTGGGTGTGGGTGGGGACTCAGGGTTGGAGTGCAGGGGATGAGGGCTCTGGCTGGGGGTGCGGGATCTGGGGTGGGGCCAGGGATGAGGGGTGTGGGAGAGGGCTCCGTCAGAGGGTTGGGTTGTGGGGGGTGGTGAGGGCTCTGGCTGGGGGTATGAGTTCTGGGGTGGGGCTAGGGATGAGGGGTTCGAGGTACGGGAGGGGGCTTAGGCAGAGGGTTGGTTTGTGAGGGGTGGTGAGGGCTGTGGCTGGGGGTGTGGGCTCTGGAGTGGGGCTGGGGATGAGGGGTTTGGGGTGCAGGCTGCCCTGGGGCTGTGGCGGGGAGAGAGGACTCCCCCTGTCTTCTCTTGCTGCAGCAGCTTGGGGCCGGTGGAGAGGCGCCTCGCTCTGGTGGGGCTGGGCTAGGCCGGGGGAGGGGCACCTCTCCCCGCCTGCGTGGCCCTTGATAGCCAGCCGTGCGGTCGCACAGCTTAGAGGGAACTTAGGTTATGGCAATAGATTGTGTGGTTATAGGATGGCTTGATTTGATCTATAGGGACACTTTTGTCCCTGTGCTGGCCCCTGTCCTGGGACATCTGGGAGCAAATTCAGCCCCTAGCACAAGTCTCCTGCCAATTGTGCCTGGTTTCAGAAGGAGCCCAGACTTGTAAGAACGCCCTTGCCACTCTCAGCTCCAGTAGACCAGCCATGCTCTCCTTGTAGAAGATCTCTTGTGCTGGGGAAGGGTCGAACACCTGCCCTCTGGGCCCAATGCAGGGTGTGATGTTTCTTTCACGTTGGTTTTGCTGCAGAGTGACTGCAATGACTTCACAGAATCACAGAACTGGAAGGGACCTCGAGAGGTCGTCTCGTCCAGTCCCCTGCACTCATAGCAATGAACTTCCACCAGATTTACACCCGTGGACATGAGGGGAGAATCTACAAAATTGGTCGTAGACTTAAGCTGTTCGAGGCAAGCACTGTTTCTTCGTTCTGTGTTTGTACAGAACCTAGCACCATGGGGTCCTGATCTACAACTAGAGCTGTTGCTGTAACACCGATAGACCCCAGTCGTTGGCAGGCAGGATTGAATCCGGGGTCTCCGGAGCTAAATGCGTGAGCCTCTACTGCATGCACTGAAAGCCACATGGCCCTTAGCTGCAGGCGTAGGACAGACTCTCAGTGGTCTTGGTGCCACTAGACGGGACAGAACACCACACCCAAGCGGTGTGTGGGTTACACTACAGTGCTATTGCAATACAAATAAATACGAACACTATTCCATTACTGCCAGTAATATGCCAATCCCCACCCACAGCCCAGTCCTTGGAGACACCCAGAAGATGCATAGTATTGATCATAGGGATATACTTGAACTGTCCTGTGAAGCAACATGTTGGCCCTCATTTCCTCACCAGCTTGCACCCTGCAAAGCCGCTCACCCTAGGGCAGTGTACTGAAATGCCCCCAGATCAGAAGGGGAGCTTTTTCAGACCCATGTTGCACAAATGACCACACAAGGTGCACAGCTAGGGAAGAGAAGGCTCATTAAGATAATTAAGTAACACTCCCAGTAGTCAGGTTTCAGAACACTTTTGTCTCAAAGAAGGACTCATTGGCATGACTTTCGTGAAGCACTCCTGCTCAAAATGTCCCAAAGCCCCCCACCCCCCCCCCTTCTTTTTACTCCCAGTAGTGCCTCTTCCTTTGTTTCCACTGCTTATAGGATGAAATTTGCGAAGATGCCTAAGGGAGTAAAATCCCACCCTTACATTTTCTGGTTACAGTTTATCTTAAAGTTCCCGTGACAAGGGTGAAAGTGCTGCAGAGTGGAAAGGGTTAACCCTGCAGCTAGTCAGCATTCTTCTCTTGAAACTTGTTGACAGAAAATTGGGTTTTCGGCTCAGTGTAATTTTCAGGGAAAATGTCTGCTTTTCTTGAACACGTCGGATTTTTTTGTTAGGAAAATGAAAGCCGAAGATTTCAGCTGGCAACTGATTTTTGGGATGGTGTCGGCTCAGAATGGTAATTTGGGTGTTTGGGTTATTCGATGAAAGGCATGGAGTTACCCCAGGGCAGCGACATAGCATAGGGCCACTGTAGACCACCGTATGCTGATCACCTGATGCTTACCTCTTCTGTTCATTCCCTCTGGGGCAGACAGGATACTGGGCTAGATGGACCTTTGGTCTGACCCGGTCTGGCCGTTCTTATCTTATGTTATGCTGCCCCTGCTGTACAGCCTTCAGCACTGAGGTCTTGTTGGGGTGGAGTGTGATGGGTGAAGCTTTGGTCTCACCCTGAACATTCCAGCTGTCCAGTTGAATTCATCTGTGTAGCTGAATTCATCTGTCTTCATTCAAACTCTGTTGTTTCTAATTTCCCTCCAGATGATCGATCATGTTAATAACAATCGCTCCTAACGCAGCAGGCCACAGAGCTGGGGCCCCTGAATGGGGGGCTCCGACCCTGGCTTGTGAAGTCCCCGCTGAATCCCTCCTTGCGTTACAGGGGTGGGGCTGAGTTGGGTCTGGGAGTGGGGGCTCCATCCATTGAGCTGTGGGGTCCATGACCCCCTGCCTGTGTCACAGAGCTGGGTCTGAGTTGGGGGGTCTGTGTGGGGGTTGCACCCCGTTGCGGTGAAGTTCCTGATTCCCTCCCTATGCCATAGACCCGGGTTTGAACTGGGTGCGTGAGTGGGGGCCATGAGGTTCATGATCCCCTCCCTGCGTCACAGAGCCGGGGCTGGGATGACACTGGAAGTGAGCCGCACCATGGCGCATTTCACTCCTCAGTCTCACATTATAGAGCTTGTCTCTGGCCTTCCTTTGAGCCCGGAGCAGCTCAGGGGCAAAGCAGAGCCTTTCACTCCAAAGCCGTCCGTCCCTCTGCCAACAGGGCAGGTGGAGACGGCATGTGCGACTGGCAGGGCCGCTGGTTTTGGCTGGACGTATTCCTGGGGAGGTTTCATCACATGACATAATCCTTCATTAAAGATTAATCTTTAATGCCTAGAGACGCCAGGACAATCCTGGAGGGCTGGTCACCCTAGCGACGGTGTTGCAGTGCCTTGGGGAATTACTCCCCCCCCTCCTCCCCGGGCTGCGATTGGCTCTGATGTGATGTAGCAGAGAAAGAGATGCTGCAGGAAGAGCATCCCTTCTGCATCCTTCCACTCCCCCCCCCCCCCAGCTCCATCCTGGCACTTGCTGGGTGGATTTTGTCCTGGCACGTGATTGCATCCTCCCCCCTTTTTGCCTGGCTTCCTTCCCCCGTCCTGTGGAGTGGAAATGGTACAGTCCTTTCTCCAGCAGACTGGTAGCTCGGTGGATGTTGCTGGAACGTAAGAGCATCAGCACAGGCTGGCTGGACTGCAGCGAGCAAACCTATCACCAGGCGGGCACAAGAGAGGCAAGAGGCGTTCTCTCTCTGCTGCTCCTAGAGCTCTGCACAAGGGTTGGTGCCCAACTGTCGGTGTCCCAAGCAGGAGAGCATCATCCGTGAGGCACGATGACCCAAGGGAAGGTAGGTCGGGACCCAAACACCAGGCTAACCTTTCTACCCCCAAACTTTGCAAAGGGGGAATGGGACTCTTTCGGCCCAGGGAATAAAAATCGTAGCGTTGAGATGGAGCCGAGACCTGGGCGTCCTTGCACTGCCCTGCTGCATCGTGCATGAGTCGGGGGCCTATAACAGAAGGGATCCGGCAGGGAAATGGAGTGGAGGGTTATATCACCGGGAGGTTATAGGGTGAGTGTCCCGATACAGTCTGTATTTGTGCATAGCCCCATGGTATCCTGCCCGTGCCAAGTTGAGATCCATCCTGGCGCTTTGTGAAGGTTATTTTTTCTGTACCACCAGCAGGTTGGCTAAAAAGGAGAAGGTATAACCCCTCGTCCCCTGGCATGTAATTAATGGAATGGGGGTGGGGGGAAGGGGGTTGTGCTTTCCCACCCTCCGTCGAGAAATCAGTTGCCATGGCAATGCAGCATCCTCTGGTTACCACATATATATATATATATATATATATAATCTTGGATACTTCTGGGCTGCAGGATTCTCTCTGGCTGAGTTTTAGTTCTGAGCCCACATGGACATGATGTGCTGTCACTGTATGTACCAGATCAGTGGCTGCCTAGATGTAGATGGTGGCCAGCTACCCCGCTGTCTGTGCTGCAGCCCCATATGAGCTGGTTACATAACCCCCGGCCGATATGTATCCAGAGGTTACATAACCAGCAAGAGGTCTGTCCTGGGACAGCGAGATATGTTTTCTTTCTGGGTCACTATGGCAAGGATGCTCCTTGATTGGCAGGGGGAGAGTCAGAGCCAGTATTCTGCATGTGGTCGGTACCATATGCTCTCTCTGATGGGATGCAGTGGGAGTCTGAATACAGGAGAGGGTAGATGCTGGGGTGGGTACCAGCTCCTTAGACAAGAAATCATTGCATGAAAAGACCATTTTGCAAGGACTCTGTTCCTCTTCCTCACCTTCCGTGGGCTTTTCCCCCATTTGAATGAGGTCATCTCATCCTGGCTCATGTGGCGTTGATGCAATGTCTGCCATTGGTTGATGAGGGACAGTTGTCATCTCTGATCGGTTTATACTGGTTTTGCCAGCTGGCGATTGGTTCTTGTTGTGCTGTGACGGATTTATAGTGGCTTTTTCTAGCCAATGATTGGCATTGGTTGAGTTCACCTGTCCCGTCATTGGTGCGGTCTGAGTTGAGATTGCCAGTGACTGGTGCACGTTGAGATGACACAACCAGTGATTAGTTGATATTGGGTTTATCTAGTTGTTGGCTGGTGCATATGGAGCAAGCTTAGCCTGCGATTGGTGCGTAGTGAGCTGGTGTAGTCTTTGAGTGGTGTTTGTGGATACAAAGCAAACTGTGGGGCTGGCATGTAATGGGCTGGTACCATCTGTAGCTGCTTTGCCCTGTATTGTGCTCATTGTCTCTCTCTATACAGGTACATATCCTCTCTATGTGGGTACATTTTTGGCTCTTTTATAATTTTGGGATTGTTTATGAGCCCAAGCCTTCTTCCCTTAAAGTCAATGACAAGCTATCGTTGATTTCAGTTATCCTATTCAAGGATATTATTTCAGTAACTAGGATGGCGAAAGATTTCTTTTAAAAATAATAGCAATCATACTCATAATAATACCTACTTATATAGCACTTTTCAATCCCAGATTTCAGAAGGCTTTGTGAACTCGGTGAGTACCATTATCCCCGTTTACAGATGGGGAAACTCAAGCACACAAGAGGGGATGTGACTTGCCCAAGGTCACCCAGCAGGTCAGAGCTAAAAATAGACTCGCGTTCTCCTGGGTTCCAGCCCAGTGCTCTGTCTGCTAGGCTAGAATGCTTCCTATGCTGGGCCACGTCAGGGGTGGTGCAGGAATATTTAATCCTGACCCAGCACAGAAGTTATGGGCTTGATGCAGGAATTACTAGGTGCAATTCTCTAGCCCAGGCAATGCGGGAGGTCAGAACGGATGAACATAATGGTTCTCTCTGGCCTTCAAATCTATTATTTAAATGGTAGTTTCAAAGAAACTGCTGATGAAAGTGGATCTGCTTTATGTCCAATTGTATGGGCCCCATTTGAGAACAGAAACAGAAAGTTCCTGGAGTGCTGGCTTAGAGACTGATGACAGTGGACAAAAAACACCTAAGGGCTGATCTACAAATATATTTAAGGTGCCTAACTCCCATTGAAAGTCACTTTTGAAAATCCCACAAGGCAGCTATCTGCATCTTTAGGTGTCTAAATGCCTTTGTCAAGTCTGGCCCTAGGTGACTTTCAATAGGACGTAGGTTCCTAAATTACTGAGATGTTTCTGAAAATTTTACTCAGTGTAAAGTATGGAGGCCAGAATTTTCAAAACTGTCAAGTAGAGCTGGTTGATTTTTTCTTCTCTAAACCTTTTCCTTGTGGAGGGGAGGGAGGATATATTTTTTTTTTTTTGCCCAAATGAAATTTTTCATGGGTAAAAAAAAAAAAGGGGGTCGTGGTGATGGGAATGGTGGTTTCTTTTTCTTTGTCGAAAAAGTGAACTTTTTTGTAGGAAATGCAGGGAAAAAAATCAATTAAAAAAAATGTCCCGTGGTCATTAATTCACATTTGGCATCCAGTGCTAGTGCCTAGTGATTTTAGGTGCCCACCATGAGATGCCCTAAGGCAGTGAGACTCAGACTGAGGCTTGGGAGCCGCAAGTGGCTCTTTAATGTGTCTCCTGTGGCTCTTTCCAGCACATGATATTAAAATACTGTGTGATTTAATTATTAACCAATCTAAGTTATTAACCAATCAGGATGCTTTTACTATGTTATTAACCAATTGTAGTTGATAAAATAATAATACGTGGTCAGTCATTTAGCTGTGAGAATAATAAATATATATAGTATATGAAGCAATGAATTCACACGACTATGGCTCTTTTGGGTAATGTTGATCGCTAATTTGGCTCCTGAACCCCCGAGGCCTGATTATCACTGCTCTAAGGGTTCTGATGGACAGAAGACTCTCCCTCAGTCATTTCCACTGGCTGTGCCTCCTCTCACGCTCCGTTGCTTATAATTTATTATCCTCTGTCTCCTCCCCAACTGATTTATGTTTTTTTCCTCTCCTCCTTTCCTCTCTTTCTATCCCTGGTTTGCCCTTTCTTCCCTCCATTTCTCTTCTCCCGCTCCCCTCTTCTCTCCTTATATGTCCCTCGTTGGCCCTCTCTTCTCCTCCATTTTGGCCTCTCCCACTCCATATCTGTCCCTCATTGGCTCTCTCTCCTCCTCCATTTTGACCTCCTTCCACCTTCTCTTGGGATGGGGCCTGGCGTGAGGTTCTGTTCACCCTCCACTTTCCAACCCTGAATGTTACTGAGTGTACCGGACTGAATTCACCCAAAGGCAAGATCCAAAGCCCATTGAAGTCGATGGGTGTATTTCCAATGACGTTGATGAGCTTTGGATTAGGCCCAAACCACAGATGAGTTGCCATCTGTGATGTGTCAGCTGATGGTTCCAGCTGTGAGGTTGTTCTTATTCCCTGTCATTCTGTTGTGGCTATTTTAATCCTGATTTCTCTTTGCCACGCAGCTCTCTGTGAATAACAAGCCTCCTAACTCCGAGGGACAGCAGGGACAGGGAGAAAAGAAGGACAATGCAACCGCCCCCTCGGCACCCCCGACGTACGAGGAAGCAACTTCAGGGGAAAGGATGAAAACGGAGGCATTCTCCCCTCCACCGTCTGTGCCCCTCCACCCCAGCTGGGCTTATGTGGATCCCAGTGAGTACTCGCTTGCCCTGCATTGCTGTGAAATTCACTCGGCCAGTTTATTGTCCCTGTTTTACTGATGAGTGAAGCTGAGATGCAGAGACTTGGCCAAGATCACAGAGCAAGTCAGTGGCAGAGCCAGAAATAGAATCCGGGAGTCCTGAACCCCAGGCCTCTGCTCGAATCAGTAGACTCCACTCCGTCTCGGAGCAGGGGATAGAATCTAAGAGTCCTGATTGCCACTCCCCTGCTCTAACCACTAGACCCTACTGCAGGGGTGGCCAGCCAGTGGCTCCGGAGCCACATGCGGCTCTTCAGCGGTTAATATGCGGCTCCTTGTCTGGGCCCCGACTCCGGGGCTGGAGCTACAAGCGACAAATTTCCAGTGTGCCAGGGGGTGCTCACCGCTCAACCCCTGGCTCTGCCACAGGCCCTGCCCCCACTCCACCCCTTCCCACGCCCTCCCCTGAGCCGGCCGTGCCCTCGCTCCTCCCCGCTCCTCCCCAGAGCCTCCTGCACGCCACAAAACAGCTGATCGGGAGGTGCGGGGAGGGAGGGGGAGGCGCTGATCGGCAGGGCTACCGGTGGCGGCTGGGAGTGAGGGTGGGGGCTGCTGCTGACGTGTTACTGTGGCTCTTTGGCAATGTACATTGGTAAATTCTGGCTCTTTCTCAAGCTCAGGTTGGCCACCCCTGCCCTACCCCCTCTCAGAGTGGGGGACAGAACTGACTGTACAGCCCCTGGCAGGGCTGATTTCTTAGTAAGCGAATAGCTGGTTGTGTTATAGTGAATCTCGGGTCTTGTCTTTGGTGGCTGCATCTGACTCCTGGCTTGTTTGGGTTGAATTTCCAGGGGTGTGTGTGTGTATGGGGATTATTTCTGTTACATCCTGTAACTGCATCAGTAGGGCTCCGATGACAGTAAAGGTGCGTCCATGGAGACCTCCTGCTGCAGGGAAGCACAGGGCTACTAAGTCGCTGGGCTGTTTATCTGGAGCTCCCTGGTGACACTTGCACCTTGACTGCCTCTGAATCTTTCTCCCTCATCCCCTTCTGCCTCGGTGAACATGTCCGTAACAGAGAGGCGATAAATAACCTGTAATTGCGAGTTACAAGGTTATAAATACACTGGGGGATTGCTTTGATCTATCGACTCCAGACCCATGCAGTTTATGAGCCTGGCAGGATTCCCACGCTGCAGCTGTGTGCCCAGTTGTACGTGCCATCATATGGAGTCCCCCCCACATAGCCTCACCCTGGCAGCTCCCTTGCTGGCCACCACTTTCCTATTATTCCAGGTCCCTTTCCTCTTTCTCTGATCTCTCTGACCCCAGCCTGGCTGCAAGCTGGGGGATCCGATCCCTGGGCTGTGTGTGTGTGTGACGTTGCATTGTGTTGCATTGACAGGTACTGTGTGACGTACGAAGTACCTAGAGGCAAACCTAAAGGCACTGAGCGGCACACAAAGATGCGGCTTGGTTTATTTTGGCGTGGCAGGCCAAACATTACCTGCCCTGCCCTTGAATAGGCAAGAGCACTGGGTTCCCCTTATTAGCAGAGTGGCCAGATCCTGAGGCTCTCACACAGGTTAAATTCTCATTGACTTTGAGTGTTTGCCTTGGTAAGCAGTGAGTTAATGGGCAAAGCAGGGAAAGAAGTGGCAGCATCTGGGAAGCAAGGAGGGAACAGCACGGGCTCCGGCTTGTACTTTCCCCTGAGGGTGCTCAACACCCACTCCGCCCCAGGTCCCGCCCCCACTCCACCCCTTCCCCCAGGCCCCCACCCCTGCCCTGCCTCTTCCCACCCCCGCTCCACCCTGGCCCCACCCCACCTCTTCTCCACCTCTTCCTGCCCCCTCCCCCGAGAGAACCCCCTTCCCGCTCCTCCCCCTCCCTCCCAGCACCTCTTGCACATTGCGGAAGAGCTGATCACGGCAGGCAGGAGGCGCTGGGGGGAGGGGGGGGGGAGTTGATCTGTGGGGCGGCCGGTGGATGGGAGGCGCTGCGGGGGTGGGAGTGAGCTGGTTGCCAGTGGGTGCTGGACCACCCGCGGAGTTGGCGCCTGTGGTGAGCAGGCTTAAATGGCAGGATGGCCTCGTGCAGGGGTGGTAAATTATTTTTTTGTCGAGGTCCAAATTTCTTGGTCAGGGTATAGTCAAGGTCCAGGCTCCAGAGAAAATAATAATAAAAAAAATAACAATAATGATAACAAGTAAATAAAAAGTTTTCCGGGTCTGTTCAAAAGTGTCTGGTGGTCCAGATTTGACCTGCAGTCTGCCTACCCCTGGCCTATTGTTTAGGGTGTGAGCTAAGGATCTGGGTCAAGTCCCTGCTCTGCAACAGCCTTCCTGGGTGACCTTGAGCAAGTCACTGAGCCTGTCCGTGCCTCAGTTTCCCATCTGTACATTGGAGCTCATATAGCACCCTCTGGAGCCGTGTTGGGAAGATAAATGCATTATAGATGGAGAGGGGGGATTTGATAGCAGCCTTCAACTACCTGAAGGGGCGTTCCAAAGAGGATGCAGCTCGGCTGTTCTCAGTGGTGACAGATGACAGAACAAGGAGCAATGGTCTCAAGTTGCAGTGGGGGAGATCTAGGTTGGATATCAGGAAACACTATTTCACTAGGAGGGTGGTGAAGCACTGGAATGGGTTCCCTAGGGAGGTGGTACAATCTCCTTCCTTAGAGGTTTTTAAGGCCCGGCTTGACAAAGCCCTGGCTGGGATGATTTAGTTGGGGTTGGTCCTGCTTTGAGCAGGGGATTGGGACTAGATGACCTCTTGAGGTCTCTTCCAACCCTAATCTTCTATGATTCTACGAGGCGTTCAGATTGCAGGGTAAGAGGAGCTGTATGAGAACCATTGGGAGGTGAGCTTGCAAGTCTGGATGACAGGGCAGGTGGCAGTGAGGGAAAGAAGGAGGAGAGGAGAAGCTCTTTGGGGAGATATGAAGCTGTGGTGCTTGACACTCTTGTGTGAAGGCTGTGGCCAACCCAGCAGAGACAGAACAGGGCTAACCAGGTGAGTCTGTATAGCCTGAGCTGGCAGCTGTAACAGACTCATGTCCTCTCTGGCATGGAGCGGGGGGTGGGCGGGCAGAGCTGGCGCTAGGCATAAGCGACTAAGCAATTGCTGAGGGCCCTGAGCAACTCAAGGGGGGACCCCATCTGCTTTTTTATGTCTTGCGTGTGGGGCCTCCCTCGAGAATATTCCTGCTTAGGGCTCCCAGTGGCGAGTACTGCCTCTGGAACCGGGGGCAGGGCACACATTGACAAGGGGGTTTAAACCTTTGGAACTCACTGTCACAGGGGGTATCCTTGAGACCGGGATTCTAAAATAATAGACCATTCATAACATGTGCACAACATAAGAGAATTACAAGGGTAACAGCACTTCAGGCCGCAGAGCATATGACAACAGCTGTTCTTGAGGGCTCCCTGTGGACCACATGGTATTGCACAAGAGGCTCCGTGCAAGGTGGTGTTTTTCACCTTCCCATGATGCCATGGGCACTAAGCCCACTGGTGGGAGCTGGGATACAGACTAGACAATTAATTGATCTTTAAATATTCATGGTAAATAGGCCCAATGGCCTGTGATAGGATGTTAGAGGGGGTGGGATCTGAGTTACTACAGAGAATTCTTTCCTGGGTATCTGGTTGGTGAATCTTGCCCACATGCTCAGGGTTCAGCTGATCGCCATATTTGGGGTCAGGAAGGAATTTTTCTCCAGGGCAGATTGGAAGAGGCCCTGGGGGTTTTTAGCCTTCCTCTGTAGCATGGGGCACGGGTCACTGGCTGGAGGATTCTCTGCGCCTTGAGGTCTTTAAACCATGATTTGAGGACTTCAATAGCTCAGACATAGGTGAGAGGTTTATTGCAGGAGTGGGTGGGTGAGATTCTGTGGCCTGTGTTGTGCAGGAGGTCAGACTAGACGTTCATAATGGTCCCTTCTCACCTTAATATCTATGAATCTAGATGGTTGACTGGGTTTGGCAAATCCAATCCCTGAGCTTGCTGTGAGTGACATTGGAGGTGCATTGTGTAGCATAGGCTGGTGCTAAGATGTGGTACGTTGGATTATGGAGGGCTGAGTTGAATTTACCCGCACCCTGGGTCTGAGGCCGAGAACAGAAGAGTTACTGGACTTCCAGCAGCGAGGACTGCAGGCTGAGGCATTTGGGAGACAGGGACTCAGGATCCTGGGTTCTATTTCTGGCTATGCCAAATGTTCCCCGTGTGACTTTGAGCAAGATATTTAGGCACCTACGCCCCCCTCTGTGCTTCAGTGTCCTCATTTGTAACCTCCAGATGTTGACACCTGCCTGCAACACGAGGGGACTGTGGAGCTAAATTCAGAATTGCTTGTAAAGATCATGGAGAGCTTTGGATGGGCCGGGCTAGGGAGATGCAATATGGCCTTGGTAATCTCTTGGTAAACACTTCCTTCTCAGTGCCAGCGACTCTCTCCATTTCCCTGGGAGGTGCTAGAGAGGTGCAGTATGCTCTTAATCTCTTGGTAAACACTTCCTTCTCAGCACCAGCCCCTCTCACCAGCTACAAGATTTTTGTCATCTGTCCACACCGTGATTATTATCAACAGTGCCATCGGCTTCCAGTCAACTCACTTATCGTATTTACATCTCAGTGAATTATGTGAGATTGATCAGCCTCTGGCATTCATGGTACTTCTCTATCATCATTGTCTCTGTATGTGCCTGCCTGCCTATGTATCTGTTTAATTATGGTATTTCTCACTCTGTCTACCTGATCTGATGTACAGTATAGGATGGACTAATGGTTTGAGCACAGAGCTGGGAGCCAGAGATGACTGAATTCTAAACTTGACTTGTAGGCCTGTTCTGTGCCTCAGTTTCCCCATTTCGGTTATCCCTGACCCTCTCTCACTAGATGGCATTGCCTAGTGGCTAGAATACTGGACTGAGACTCAGGATGCCCAGGGTCTATTCCTGGCTCTGCCACTGGTCAGCTGGGTGACTCAAACAAGTCACTTCCCCTCCCTCAGTTTCCTCATCTGTAAAATGGGGATAATGATACTGACCTCCTTTGCAAAGTGCTTTGAGATCTAGTGATGATAAGAGCTAAGGATTATTATTCTGCAACAGCATCACTGGTTGCCATGGCTACTGTTACATCACCTCCTGCCCCCTACTGTCAACTCAGTCATCCAGATAGTCCCATGTATCTGAGGATTTCCCTGCTCTGAACCTTCCCATACATCAGGGGTGACATTTGCTGCAGGCCTGGCTCATGTGCACTAAACCTCAGTGATGATCCACGGGGCAGGTTTGGTTTTAGAATCATAGAAGAACCATAGAATCATAGAATATCAGGGTTGGAAGAGACCTCAGGAGGTCATCTAGTCCAACCCCCTGCTCAAAGCAGGACCATCCCCAACTAAATCATCCCAGCGAGGGCTTTGTCAAGCCGGGCCTTAAAAACCTCTAAAGATGGAGATTCCACCACCTCCCTCGGTAACCCATTCCAGTGCTTCACCCCCCTCCTAGTGAAATAGTCTTCCCTGTTTGGGTGTCCTTATAGGCAAAAAGGGCCTCTTAATGAAGAGCTCTCCACGCAGGTGGTTTGGGAAAAGGTGTAGAAGGCAGTAAGGGACCTGGGTTCTCTCTGATCTCGGCTCAGTGCCAACTCACTCCATGACTGTGGGCGAGTCAGTCAGCCTCCCTGTGTGTAACTCACACCAGGGGCAGGGCAGAGGCCCTCCTTGAAAAAGCCGTCTGTGCCTCTGGGATGAAGTTATCTCCAGGGAAATGGGCTGTCACAAGAAGTGAGGCAGGCACCTGTTAATCTCAGGCCATTAGACAGCGCCAGGGGATTGCAGAGCTAGTTTAGCAGAGTGCTGTGGGTGACAGGGCAGATGCATCCATGTGGGAGTATTTAACATTCAGTGAAAGGTGAGGCTTCCGGCCATGGCTGGAAAGTAAGGGTATAATCTGAGGCCTCAGGGTAGCTATTAAAGATCCCATGACATAGTTCACCCCGTGTCTTGGCCACACTTCCAGTTTGGATAACTGGATTCCACTTCTATAAATTCGCCCCAGAAACAGGATTCTGCTCCGCCTCTTGTTTGCTGTTCAAGAGCTGCTGCCCCCCCCCCCGCCCCAGACACGTTTGAAACTTTCTTTTGATTTCATTAAAAACCAGTTCAAAAGCACGAAAAATGTTTTGACTGGATCGAGACAAACCAGTTTGTTGGATACAAACACATTTTTTCTTTTCGCTTTTCGACTTGCCGAACTTTTTCAAAAAAGGCTCGTTTTCTGTCCGCCCGGACACATTTCCCCGCTCCTCCCCCGACTTTTCAATCCATTCGTCCCCCCCGTCCCCCGTTGTCTACCCCCAAGCCGCAGGATACAGCCCGACGGTCAGGTCCTGGAGCAGCCTTCAAGTGGACCATTGATCTCCTGGCGTGGCAGAACTCGTCTGGGCTCAGTGGCCATTGCAGCCAGTGTTCCGAGGTTAAACGCTCTTCAGCTGAGTTTGTTGAACCAGAACGGGGACACACTTTTTCTTTTCTATTTTTGAGTTGTGGCTTCGTTAATCAACAGCTGCTTTTTTTTTTTTTTTTTTTTTATTACAGTGGATTGTGACCGTTTATGTTGTCACATTCGGCAACTCCCAAACTGCTCGCTTAACAGACTTAAAACTTTCCATGCTCAAAGGGGAGGAAGGGGAAGGTTTCCAGAAAGGTATTCCCTTTCTAACAGTTACAGACCGCGGAGAATACAGGGCCCAGTGCTCAGCTCATCAAAGGCCATTTTATGCCTCTCCGGCAATGTAAAGTGGACTCACAGTGGGTTTAAACTACCCCCTGAGAATCTGCTTTTGTGGAGGGCTTCGCCAGCTTAGGAGGTGGGTAGGGAGCCTGGCCAGAGGACACTATGCTGTGACAATTATCTCTTTTTCAGAGCCTATAGGGAGCCATGAGAGGTTAGGGTAGCCCAAAGGCTGCTCTAATATATACTGAGACTGGGCAGAGCCCTGCACAGTCCCAGAAAACAGAGTGCAATGGTGGCCTAACGCCCTCTCGCCATGCCCAAGTTCAGGTAAAGATAATTGGGTGGGCAGTGTTCTCCAGGGCTCCCATCTGCGGAGTGGGTCACTGTATGTACAGGAAATAGCCCGACTTGATTATGTAAAGAGTTGTCACTTTGGATGGGCTAGCACCAGCAGGAGAGTGAATTTGTGTGGGGGGGGTGGAGGGTGAGAAAACCTGGATTTATGCTGGAAATGGCCCACCTGATGATCACTATAGATAAGCTATTACCAGCAGGACAGTGGGGTGGGAGGAGGTATTGTTTCATATTCTCTGTGTATATATAAAGTCTGCTGCAGTTTCCACGGTATGCATCCGATGAAGTGAGCTGTAGCTCACGAGAGCTCATGCTCAAATAAATTGGTTAGTCTCTAAGGTGCCACAAGTACTCCTTTTCTTTTTGCGAATACAGACTAACATGGCTGTTACTCTGCAACCTGTATGACGTAAGCATTTCTGCTCCAGGACTCCCTCCGTGGGCTGAGGCACAAGGGTGTATGGGGCCATTTCTTCTTCTGTGGGACCCCCACCCAAATGTGGTACAAGAGAAGGTGACCTGGGGCTCATCCTTGGGGAGCATGAGGAGTTGCCTCGCTCGGCCTTGAGATCCCCATCCCCACAACACACAGCAGCTGAAATGTCTCCCAGCAGCCAGTTTGTCCAACGTCCTGTTGAAGGGACTCTTTCCTTCTGCTGAGCAAAAGATGCCAGGCAGGCCGGTCATGTCCCACAGCTCCTGGTTGGCACCTGATTTCTCTGCCTCGGGGTGCGTTACAATGGAGAGGGAAGTCAAGCTCCGGAAGGCGACCGGTGGCTCTGCATTAAATCCTGCCCGCCCACACCCTAGCATATGCAGTTGTTGCAGGGGGGCATGCTACTGTTCCGATCCTTTCGGGCCAGGGCAGGGCAGCTCCCAGGAGATCTGCGCCTTTAGTTCTCCTCCTCTGCAGAGTGGCCCTTAACACTGTTGGAGCGTGGACAGCAAAACGCTTGTGCCTCTCAGCTAGGAGCTCCTGGGGAAGAGTCTTTTCTTCTCTTGCCCTTTCTTGATTTGTGTCTCAGGCCAGACATGGACTGAGGTAGGATCTGAGCTCAGGCAGGATTGGGAGGCAGCGGATAATTCGGAGTCAAAGCCACAGGAAGATGTCCTTGATATGGTTGGCTGGGTAGGAAGATCAAGGGCTCAGGAAGACAGGGTCTAAGCTGGGATGCCTAGCAGAAGTATCTCCCTAGGCTGGCGGTCCAATGTGTGTGGGAAATCTTGAGGTTTGTGTGTGGGGGGGTAATCCAGGCCTGCCATAAACTTTAATCCACCCCTGGTTTCAGACAACACCCCAGTGCCCCCTGGGGAAGAGGCAGAGCACAGTTGGGGTGAGGAGCAAAGCTGGGAGGTGTCATCTGATGTGCCTTTCTCTTTCCAGGTGCCAGCCCAAACTACGGCAGTGGAGGGTACCCAGGGGACACGGAGCTACTCACGACCTTCAACTGGGATGACAGAAATGTGCGCAGAGTGTTCGTCAGAAAGGTACCACCTGGGACAGCCTCCCAAGCTTATGTAGGGATGCGCCAAACCCTGGCTGAAGCTAATGGGCCCCAAGAGGAGGCGGGGAGGCGGCAGGGGAGAATGAAGTAAGACACAGCTCCACGGTCCCTGCCAGCGCAATGATGCGCTAGCCTGGTGCAGGGCTTGGATGGCTCAGGCTGGTGAGACCCAGCGAGCGCCGTGCTGCAGGGCCTTAATGCTAATGTCAATCGGGGCACGTTCAGATCTGCGTCTGAGCTGCCTGGCTCAGGCCCACCTCTGCCCACTGTGGAGGGTGAGCCCCGAATGGTTAATTAATGGTGTCCTGTTGGATCCTGGTGATACCGCAGGGCCGTCTCCATCACGCGTTTGGAACACATGTTCTTCAGGAGTATTAGGGCAGCAAAATGGTTCCTGGGCCAGATGGCGTCAATCAGCATAGCTCCATTGAAGTCAATGGATCTGACCCCCAACTGGGGTAAATCTGTGGAGCTCCAGTGAAGTCAATGGGGCCAGATCCCCAGCTGGTGTAAATTGGTGTCGCTCCACTGAAAGCAATGGGCCAGATTGCCAGTCGGTGTAAATCACACAGCCTAATTGATGTCAATGGAGCCACGTACATCACCTGAGGAGCTGACCGAGGATTTCCATCAGCGGAGGCTCCAGCCTCCTTCCATAGGGGAGCATGGGGGCGGAGTCTGCCTCTAGCCGGGTGTGACTGTTGACCCACACTGACAAGATACTGTGGTTTCTCGTTTCAGGTCTATGCCATTCTTATGCTCCAGCTGTCTGTCACAGTCAGCATTGTGGCTCTCTTCACCTTCTGGTAGGTTTCTGAGTTAGCAACAATCCTCAGCTCTGACGTCTTACTTGTGCACATGGGTATCTTTTCCTTGGGTATCGGTCACTCAGGTCCTTGAGTAGTTTTCACTTGGTCATTATCAGTTACTTGGCTACCTGGATAACTTTCCCTTGAGTGCTGTCCGTCACTCAGGTACCTGGAAATCTTTTCCATGGGTATTAACTGGCATTGATACCTGTGTATCATTTTATTGAGCGTTATCTGTCACTCTGATACCTGGATATTTTTCCCTTGAGCATTGTCAAGTCAGCCCCAGATATGCGGGTATCTTTCCCTTGGGGAGTAGCTTATCTATACTCAAGTAAGCAGGTCTCAGGCTCCCTGTAGCTCGGATAACTTAGTGTTTTGGGTGTGCATAGATCAAATTACATTTAGATCTCGTACTAGATCACCGTCACTTGGAAAAGTTCAGCAACTTGACTGTGAAGTGATTGCTGTTCCGTGTCCCGTGAATGACCCCCCCACACTTTTCTTTCTTTTTCTCCTGCAGTGAGCCAGTCAAAGGTTATGTCCAGTCAAACCCAGCCTGGTACTGGGCTTCCTAGTAAGTATCTAATGCCTTTTCCCATTCAGAAATGGTAGAGCCGATTGTGTATGGCTGAGTTTATTTGGAGGCATTTTTAGAGCCTGCTGCTGCATCTGAACACCTACCCCACATGCAGGAGAGGAAATTCACCTTTGAGACGAGAACAAACATGAGCTTGTGAAAAACAAGAAGTGTACACAGGAAACCTCAAAGTAACCTTAGCTGGAGTGTTTGCTGCTTTGCTGAGATGAGTGCAAACAAAACACTTAACGCTATCAAATGTACTGCAGGGCACTTTAAACAAAATATAGTTAGGTCCCACCAGGCAGCCAGTTTTGAAATATCACCGGTGTTGCTGTATTCAGTAGAAGCCAGAGCTGAGAGGATTTTCCAAGCTGCAGGGTGAAATGTTCAAAAGCGCCCAAGTGGCTTAGAAGCCTGACTCCCATTGACTTGAGGTCCTAAGTCACTTAGGCACCATAGACAAGTTTACTCATAATCTATCACTTTTTAAATTGATGAGAAAGACCAGGTGGCAAAATTCCACTGTGCATTCACAAACAGGAGGTCAGACTAGATCAGAGGTGGGCAAACTATGGCCCGCGGACCACATCCGGCCTGCGGGACTGTCCTGCCCAGCCTGTGAGCTCCTGGATGGGGAGGTTCATCCCCGGCCCCTCCCCTGCAGTCCCATGTCCTCACTGCTATTTTTAGTGAGCCAGTTAGGTCAAGCTAGTGTGGGTATGTCTACATTAGCTGCAAAATCACATCCCTGGCCGCTTACATGTGCTTTGCCTGTTGCCATATTGGGGCCAGATCCTCAGTTGGTGTAAATGGAAGTCAAAGCTGCACAGATTTACACCAGCTGAGGTCTATCTTTCTGTCAGCCATTAAAGAATGCAACAAGTATAAAGGAGGAACGGAAAAGTACGTATGAGTCTGGATTGGAATGCACTGGATTCAAGCTCAGATCCCACCCACGGCGCATGCTGACCAGTCATCCGGCCTGAATAATCATGGAGAATGTATCTTTTTAGCTGAGCCCCGAGGTGTTAAAAATATTTGCCCATGTAGCATTTCCTGTGTCCTCTGCAAGGTTAGTGTCTGCATGCTGGCAGTTAATTAAGCAGGTGGAGTGTGAGATGCAAATGGCCATTAACAGGCCACACTGAACCTGTTTCTTGTTAGTTCACACCCAAAACCCAGAGGTGAGAAACTAGCTTAGAGAAAGTTGGAGAAAGACCCAAAATAGCAGCAGAAGGAGGAAGCTGGTGATGATGCAGTGTTCATGCCCTTAAAGGATAACATGTTCTCCTTAGCACTGGGAGCAAGGTTTGGTAGATCTGAGAGAGCCCCTTTTGAGAAGTGTGGATTCAGATCCTGTTCCAGATCTGAGCTTCTAATTAGGACCCATACTTGTTATCAAGGCAGGTTCCCCAGATATCTCTCCAGCTGCCTTTCCATCTCCTGGCCTCCTCATTTGTCCATATTCTTCCCTCGCAATTCAGGGAACATACCTGACGCCAGTCAGTGTTCTTTTGCAACCCCTACTTTGGGGAAAGGATCCTGGATCATGGAACTTCTGTCTTTCCTTTCCTTTCCTTTCCTTTCCTTTCCTTTCCTTTCCTTTCCTCCACTCTACTTATCTATTCTTTCTTTTCTTCCTTCCTTCCTTCCATCCTCCCACACATCATGTCTCTCCGCTATCCATTCTATTGATCCTGTTGCTTTATTTATTCCCTCTGGGTCTGATTCCCATATATACTAAGAGCCCGTTACACCGCTCTGGCAGTGGAAAGGGGCCTTACGGTGGTGTGATTGTAAAGTCCACCCTCTTAAAGGTCCGTTTATACTGCCAGAGAGGCAGAATGAGGCCTGAGGGTAATGAGAATCAGGCCCTCTCTCTCTCTCTCTCCCCCTCTGTCTGTGGGAAGCCTCCTTCCACTCTTCCATGATTATTCCAGTCCCCAGCACTTTCTGTGGCTTCTTCCTGCAGGACCAGACCACAGATCTATCAATGGTGCATTTATCAAAGACTGTGAGGTTTGCCTCCCCGTTCACGTTCCTTATTTATTAGACACATGAGTGGCCAGTTTTCTGATTACCATCAAAGCCTTTGGAACCTGCCTTCTCACCTACCGCTGGGTTGCCTGAGGCACTAGGGGTTATCGGTTTATCGTTACAGGATAGCTGTCGACCCTGTGGAAAAACACAGGGCCGTGTGATGCTCTGGGGAGGGATGGAGGATCCTTTTGTTGCTGGGAGAGGGTCAACTCTCTGGAGGTGGTCAATTCTGGAGATGGTCAACTCTCTGGAGGCGATCAGCTCTGGAGATGGTCAACTCTCTGGAGATGTTCGGCTCTGGAGATGGTCAGCTTTGGAGATGGTCAACTCTCTGGCAATTTGGCTGCTTGGTTTGTGGACCAGTTTAAAAGGTTTTGGGCTCTGTGAGGTATTCTCCCCTCAGATTCCTTTTCTTGTTGAATTTATTATTATTATTATTACTTATTTATGTATTATTGTAAAGGAAGGAGAGTCTGGTGGTTGGGGCACTAACTTGGGATTCAGGAGACTTGGGGCTGAGTTCTTGCCCTGCTACAGACTTCCTGTGTGACCTTGAGCACGTCACATAGGCCTAGATCCTCAAAGGTATTTAAGTGCCTAACACTAGGTGCCCAAGTATACCTCTGAGGATTTGGGCCTTCCTCCCTCTGAGTCCCAGTTCCCCTTCTGTGAAATGGGGGTTTATAGCACGGTTCTGCCTCAGAGGAGTGTTGCACTTGGAGACTAGGGCAATGGATGCCATACAAATACCGTAGGGTATGTCTACACTGCAAAAAAACCCCCGCCAGTGCTGAGTCTCAGAGCCTAAGTCAACTGACTCAGGCTCGCCCTCCGGGACTAAAATAGCAATATAGACATTCAGGCTCAGGCTGGAGCCTGGACTCTAAGCCCCACCCCTCTTGCCGGGTTTCAGAGCCTGGGCTCCAGCCCAAGCACGGATGGTCACACTGCTCTGTTGAGCCCCGTAGCACAAGTCGAGTCAGCTGACCTGGGTTCTGAGACGTGCTGCCGTGGCGCTCTTTCTGCAGTGTAGACGTACCCTAAGAATAGGTCTTAAACCTCCTCCTTTCTCCAATCTGGATCTGGATGGTAAAGCCATTTCCCAGGGTGTTCTAAGGGAGTTCGGCTGTATAGCACCCTGGTGCGTCAGCAGCAAAACGCAGCAGGAACAGTCAAGCCCTAGAGCGCTCCCTCTCCCATGTCAACCGCATTCAACACCAGGTTCTTCCTCCGTCACCCATCCTGTGTGTCTCTCTTCTTTCTCACAGTGCAGTGTTCTTTGTGACATACTTGATCCTGGCTTGCTGCTCCGGACCCAGGTAAAATACTTCCTTCTGCTTTAAACAACCCAACGAACTGACGTACTGGTGCTTTCCTATCACGGCTCCAATCCCGTATGTTCCTGACTCAAGGGCTGCAGCACAAGCCAAAGTTGTATCTCTGAGCAGACGCAGCCCAGATTCTGCACTGTCTGTAGCAGAGGGGTTGCAGGCATGTCTGAGTGCGGCGGTATAGCAGGGGTAATGCAGTTATGTCTCCTTGCCAGAGATTCACGGGGGCCACGTGCTCCTAGCCAGCAGACATGATGCAGCTGTGAGCTGGTGCACGGAGCGGTTGTGCGTTGGCGCATGGCGTGGTTGTGTGCTGACACACGGGGCAGTTGCAAGTCGCTGCGTCAGAGCTGCAACTTGGGAGGAAAAGTCAAAGTTGGATTGTGACTGTAATAGCAGAGGTGATGCTGTTGCATCTCGGTGATGCACCGCCATAGATGCTGTTTATTATTATACGGTGAAAACGCTGCCGTCTTGTCCCAGAGCTGGGGATTCCTGGTTGCTTCGCTGTAATAAAGCGGATCCATCTGTGTTGCAACGTAGCAGTCCCCTGGGCACAGCGCTATAGTTACCCAGCAGAATTAACGTCCCGCGGCATGTGCTGCATGTCTAATTAATTATGTAATTCGCGTTATGCAACCCCTTATGCAATGCCTTTAAACCACTCTGTTCTTTGGATAGTGTTGCTGACTGGCTCTTTTCACCTCACTTGCAGGAGGTATTTTCCATGGAACCTGATCCTCTTGAGTATCTTTGTAAGTAGGGTACCTGCACGGTAACTGACCTGCCCTTTTGGAGTGTCGTCAATTTCACAGAGATTAAGGCCTCCAGAAGGGACCATTAGGATCATCTTGTTCACACAGGCCCTAGAGATTGGCCCAGTAATTGCTACCTTAAACTCAATCCCTGCTGGTAGAACTAGATAAATTGAGATGGGGGGGGGGGAGGCTCTGTAAAAAAATAAATAAATAAAATTTAGGAGGAGGCTGGCCCAGTGGGGCAGAGGGGTATCTGGGTCCCATGCAGCCATGTGGAACTATGAAAGCATCATTCTTAGCCCTACGCATTGGGATGTACCCTCTTAAACCCCGCTTAGAAGGTTAGCATCCATCATCCAGAAACAGTCTCCATTAGGGCCCCTGTTAAAGAGGTTTCGCTGCCTTCTTGACCACGCTGGGTGCCACGACTGGAGGAACTGAAAGACGTCTGCAATAAATGGGTGCCTGTCTCTGGACGGAGCCGAGCATCTGTCCGTAGTAAGCGAATGCAGCTTGCAGCGCCGCCGTAGCTGAGGGGGTGGATGGGGAGCAAAATGGGGCCAGATTCAGGAATGCCAGTTTCATCTTGGTTCCCAGCCTGTGGGATTGCAGCACCGACCCATCGCAGCTGCCAACTCCGGTCTCTGGGTCGGAATAGCTTCTGCTGCCCCTCCGTGACTCCTAAGTGGTCCACATAACTAGGGTTGCCAACACGGTCATATTTAAAAACTGGACACTCCAGCAGGAGTGCCGGAACCTCCCTTGCCCCCCTTTTCCTCCTGAGGCCCCACCCCTGCCCCACCTCTTCCCCCCAAAGCCCTGTCCTTGCCCTAGCTCTTCCCCTGAGGCCCCACCCTCGTCCACTCCTCTTCCCCCTTCCCCCAGTCACTCGCTGCTTTTCCCTTCCCACCCACCCCTTCCCGGGTCAGGAGGGACTTGCCTGCAGAGTCGGGGCTGGGAGCTGCAGGCACCCAACGAAGGCAGGAGGCAGCCCTGGATGAATAGGGGCTGGAGTGGGTGGTGACCCGGTGTCTCTCCACCTCTTCTACGTGCAGTAACCGGACTGTGGGTGTCCGGTCAATAGATCTGACCGGACACTGTCAGGTCCCCTTTTCAACCTGACTTTCCAGTTGAAAACCAGGCAACCGGCTGACCTACAAGTAGCCTCACCACTGGGATAGGCCTGGACGAAGCCTACAGCCTTAGTGGCCAAGGGAACTGGAAAGCCTTCTGCAAGACCACCATTCTGCCTTCACCCCCCTGCCTCCATGAAGGACAATTATGGGACATCTCTGAGTAATTATTCATGGAGTAACTAAGTGCGTCTCCCAGTACTAACGGTTTCTCTTTCTCCCCCCCATCCCTAGACTCTCTCCATGTCCTATCTCACTGGAATGCTCTCCAGGTAGGTCAATCCGTTAGGCATCAGATTTCTTTTCCTTAGTTCGGCTCCACGTTCCAGCTCTTCCCTGCAGCCCCCTGCCTTGGCTTCCCACGTTAGAATGATCTGAGCGACACCGGCCCTTTGTTCCTTTCTGAGCTGCTAACATAGCCAAGCAAAACCTGACCCTTCCTTTGACACCAGCTGCGACCTCCGGAGGAAGCCGGTGTGAACTCCATGTGTTTTGCCAACAGCTGGCTGTGGGGAAGCTCAGATCAACTCCAGCCCCAAAGAGAGCCCGCCCGCCACCACGCGTCGTTGCAGCGGCATTGGCTTTTGGGGAGTCCACCGCCACTCCTGTTGCGGCATCTCCAAGCAGGAGGTGCTGTCAGGAGAGGGGTGGGAATGCTGGCTCAGGGCTCTGCCATTCCCATCCTCTCCCAGCCGCTGTGTAGGGAGCAGAAGAAGTGTCTCTGGGACAGTCCCACCTCTCTTAGTGCAAAGCACAGAAGGACTATTAACAGATCCAGGCTCCTGCTGGAACAAAGAGGGATCGAGGGAAGCAAATTGCAGGCTCAAGGCTGGCCATGCCAGCAGTTTTCTTCCATCTATAGCAGAAGGAGAATCCACACATCAGTCATTTCTCAGGCTTTTCCATACCTATCTAGCCAGGAACCCCCACTGTTTATGCAAAAAGAACAGGAGGACTTGTGGCACCTTAGAGACTAACCAATTTATTTGAGCATAAGCTTTCGTGGGCGACCGCCCACTTCATCGGATGCATAGAGTGGAACATATAGTAAGAAGATATATATTTATATATACATAGAGACAACATGAAAAGGTGGAAGTAGCCATACCAACTGTAAAGGGCTAATTAATTAAGTTGAGCTATTTTCAGCAGGAGAAAAAAAACTTTTGTAGTGAGTCTCAAGATGGCCCATTTAGATAGTTGACAAGAAGGTGTGAGGACACTTAACATCCATGCTCAAATAAATTGGTTAGTCTCTAAGGTGCCCCAAGTCCTCCTTTTCTTTTTGCGAATACAGACTGACACGGCTGCTACTCTGAAACCTGTCAATATGTGTAATGACCCAGTCACTGTTTATGGGAAGAGCAGGGTAATCTCAACCCCTGGTGCTTGTTTGCCAGACCCTAGCACCCTTGCTTTATCAGCACACCCCTGCTAAGCCCCCCTGGGAGCTCCTAATTAGCTCTCTCCTTCCATCCATTTGTGGGATCTAATTAGAAAGGGGGTTTCTGTGTTCCTTTTGCAGCTATTACAACACCAGGTCAGTTCTCTTGTGCCTCGGGATCACAGCCTTGGTGTGTCTTTCCGTCACCATCTTCAGCTTCCAGACCAAGGTGAGACTATCCCAGCCTGTTGGGCAGGGGATGCATCTCAGAGTGGGGAGGGAGATCTCGGTAGGGAAAGAGGAGCTGACATTCAGGAAGCAAATGGTTTGGCCAGGAAGTATGGATCTGGGAAAGCGGCTAAAGGCCATGGGGGTGTACAGGAGGGAATGTCTGACAGGGATGGGGGTTGTAGTATGGGTCCTGGGGGGTCTTGGATTTTGGGTGCAGTGGGATGACAATGCTGAGGTGCATAAGGATTGGATATAGGTGGGGAACTGTATAATAATTATAGGATTTGGAGTTATAAGGCCCAGAGTGTGATGGGTGCTAGGCTACAGGATTTGGGGTGTAGGTGGGGTATGTTGAGTCCTGGGCTATAAGGTTAAGGGTACAGGATTTGGGGTAGGATGAGTGCTGGGCTATAAGAGAAGGTTTGGGGTACAGGTGTGGGTATGAAGGGTGCTGTGTATAGGTGGGGTCTGATGGGTGCTGGGTAGGGGGCTTGGGGTTGAGACAGGGTCTGATGGGTGCTGGGTATGGAATTTGGAGTCTGGGCGGGGTGGGATGGGTGCTGGGGATGGAGTTTGGGGTCTAGGTGAGGTCAATGGGTGCTGGGTACGGGATTTAGGGTATAGACAGGGTATGGTGGGTGCCAGGTTTGGGGTGTAGGTGGGGTCGATGGGTGCTGGGTATGGGGTTTGGGATATAGGTGGGCTAGTGACTGACAGGGCGATGTGTGTGATGCTGGGTGAGTGGCTGGGCAGGGGGCATGAAGGAGCCAGCACCTTGTCGCTGAGTCCTGCCCTATCAGCCTGCACCTTGCCCACCGCCAGCGCCCCGAGCCAATCAAACCGACGGCCCCTTTTTACCTCCACAGTTTGACTTCACCTCCTGCCAAGGTGTCCTCTTCGTCATGCTCATGGTGCTGCTCTTCAGCGGGATCATCCTGGCCATTCTCCTCCCCTTCCAATACGTAAGTGACCTCTCCTCTCTGCGGACCCCAGGCCGCTCCCATGGTGCCTTCTCCGCAGGGAGGAGGTGCTTGCTGCTCAGCGTCAGATGAGGATGGCCCATGGTGCAAACCTCGATGCAGCCTGATTCCTAGTTAGGAAGGACAGCCTCTCTTATTTGGGCATGGGGTTAAAGGTGGGGAAGGACCTCCCTCCCCCACTTTGGCTGCTTCCTTGTCCTTCTCCAAACTCCGGGCTAAGCTCATCCCTTGGAGTAATTTGGATGCGTCTCCTGCTGGAGTCAACAGGTTCTGATCTGAGTTACAGCTGTGTCTACCCAATGGCGTCACACTGGATTGACACCAACGTAACCCAGATCAGAGTGACTCCGGGGGTATGTATGTGATCTGAGCAGCATTGCCTCTGGAAGGAGCGAATATTTCCCTCTAGCGGCCCGTAAGTGGGTGTGTCCCTCTAGCTACCCATCAGTATGTACATAGGCGCTGACTCCGTGGCGCGCTCCGGGGCTGGAGCACCCACAGAAAAAAATTCTGGGTGCTCAGCACCCACTGGCAGCCCCATGGGTCAGCACCTCCCCCTCCCGCCCTGCTCCTCCTGCCCACTGGTGCTCCTGCCGAACAGCTCCTCCCCCTCCCTTCCAGCGCCGCCCGCCCGCCGTGATCAGCGGTTCCGCGGCCTGCAGGAGGCGCTGGGGGGAAGGGGAGGAGCGCGGGCAGGAAGAGGTGGGGGAGGGGGTGGGAAGAGGTCAGGCAAGATGGGGGCTTGGAGGAAGGGGTGGAGTGGGGTTGGGCCGGGGGCAGGAGGAGGGGGGCGAGGTGGGGGCTTGGAGGAAGGGGTAGAGGCGGAGCAACCCCGGGATCTTAGTAAGTCGGCTCCCATGGGTGTGTATGTAACTATTGCTACCTTTAGCCACCCGTAAGTGGATACATCCCCATAGATGCCCATAAGTAGGAGAAGTGTGGGGCATCTAGGCACAGCGAGGCTAGACAAACGAAGTGATGGCTCAGGGTGATAAACGAAGACTCTGAGTGAGCCAGAACCCACAGTAATTTGCCCCTTTATCAGCATTTTCCAGCCGCTGTAGAATTTCCAATGAGGATAAATTGCTGAACGAGAGCTCCCGTGGGGAGGGGGTGGGCGGAAGCAGATACAAAGGCTTGGAGATTGGGGGCGCCGTCACAATCAATCGTGTTAATAATCGGGCCACCAGGAAGTGCAAACAGCTGAGCTGCCAAACCTCCCATGGGTCAGAAGCAGCTGCCAAGCGCGGGTGAAGGCAAAGGCAAGGAAGACTGGGGAGTCGCCCGGGGTGTCCTATCAGGGAGTGAAGCATTCCAGCTCCCCACTCAGAAAAGGGCCGGGGAAAGAATTGCTCCAAGCCACTGTCCGTTGGTGTTGCTGATTGGTTCAAACCGACTGGGTGTAAGATTGGAAGCTCTGTGGGGCAGGGACTATTTTATTGTTCTGCGGTTGTCCAGTGCCTAGCCCTGTGGGGTCCTGATCTGTGACTTCAATGCATATAACAGTAATGAAAATAACGAATAACTCCCCGATATCCAGTCCTGCAGCGCCCCTTTCTCCTCCCCACAGCATCTGAGTAACTCCCCCTGAACCCCATGGAGTCACTCTGGATTTACACCAGTGTCACTGAGTAGCAGCGACTTGAACTGCTTTGGGGAAAAAAAATCCCCTCCCTACCCCCGCTTTGCTACTGCAGAGTCGAATAAACAGCCAGACCTTTTAAATCTCGGAGCTGAATATCAGCTTAGCGATTGTATTCAGAAAAAGCTAACAGATAAACTCAGGAAATTGCCCGTAGCTGGTTGACGCTGGGACCTGAAGGAGGTGATAGACAAGCCAGGTGCTGTGGGCAAATGTGATTCATTGTATCTAGCCCCATCCAGGGGGCAGCAGTGTGCCCGAGTGGTGGGCATACTAGACTGGGTCTCAAGAGACCTGGGTTCTATTCCTCCTGCTGGGTGATCTTGGGCAAGTCAGGGCCCCTCTCTGTGCCTCAGTTTCCCCATCTGCAAAATGGGGCTAATGATCCGGCCCTCCTTTGCAAAGTGCTTTGAGATCTACAGTTGAGAAGAGCTAGTTTATTATTATGCATCTAGTTTTCTCATCTAGTCCCATACACATCTATCTAGCTAATTTTCCTTCCTATGCACTGAACCAGATTATGTCCTAGGGATTTTTGGGAGTAGCAGCCCGGAATACCTGGAGGTTCAGGTCTCCCCACCACACCCCTAAATCCTCTAAGCCATATAAAGCTCCATTCCCTTGTGGGTGGATGTCAGCCGTCAAAGATGGACATGGGGGACTTACTAGAAATGGCTCCAGTACCGCATTTCAGACTGTCCAATGTTGAGAAGTGGTGAGTAAAGAGCTGGGGTTGTGGTTCAGGTCCACATCGAGAGCTAACCCCACATTGGAGGGCATCAAGACTGGGATTTTCAAAGTACCCTAAAAAAGTTAGGCACCCAAATCCCTTGAATATCAATGGGATTTCAGTGCCTAACTCCCTTAGGGTATGCCTACACTGCAGTTGGAGGTGTGATTGCAGCATATATAGACATACCTGAGCTAACTTTAATCTAGCTAGTGCACGAAGCAGTTGCAATGAAGCTGTAGCAGCCCAGACTTCAGTGTGGATGGGCTGAGTACTTACACACGGGCCCAGATTGCACTGAACCCCATGCAGCCGTGGCTCCACTGGTCCCTGAGCTAGCTGGAGTCAGGTTCGTTTGGGTTCATCTGCGTATGTTGCAATCACTCTTGCGACTGCAATGTGGGCATTTTTGGAAACCCAGCTCATGTGTTTTCGGTCCCTTTTGGATTAATGCCAGACGTCCTCATTCGGCCCCAACCTCTGCCCTTTGTGACTTGCCTGGGAGTGGCACTGAGCCTAGGCTGACACTCGAGTAACCGATAACGAGATCTGCTCCAACTGAATTAAAGGATTTGTTCCTTCCTGGGAGATTGGGTTGGCTGAAAATGATGACCTTTGCCCCGGTGTCACCGAAGCGAAAGGTACCAGGAGGTCCTGACTCCCATTCTCCCGCTCTAATGACTACACCATATTCCCCTGCCCGAGCTGGGAAGTGAAGCCAGGAGCCCTGGCTCATAAATCAGCTGCTCTAACCAGTCCAGCACACCCCACTCTTAAAGCTTGGCTTAGAACCCAGGAGTGGGTTTCCTGTTAGCTGCTTTCACCACTGCACCGTGCTGCCCCCTCAAAACTGGGTGTAGAACCCACATTTCCTTGCGCCCAGTTACATGCTTTAACCATCTTCCCTTCTCAAAGCTGGGAATGAAAGCCTGGAGTCCTGATGGCCAGTCCGCTGGTCTAACCACGGCACCACACTCTTCTTCCCATTCTGGGAACAGAACCCAGGAGTCCAGAGGCCCAGTCAGTGACTCTGACCCTTGCCCTGTATTCCCCTCCCCAGGCAGGGAATAGAACTCAGGAATCCTGATACTTAGGCCCCTGTTCTAGCCACTAAAGCACTGGCTACTGATCAGTGTGTTTGCATAAAACCAGCAATATCCCAGGGCCACATGTGTGCGGCCAGCTCTTGGGGGATTATTGTCACGCTCACCTACCTCGCCACCCTCCTGCCATCACCCCTTTGCCGCCATGTTTTCTGTCTCTTTCCACTCCGGCGGATGCTTCTGGCACCCGACGCTGTTCACCTGCAACAAAGGTGTTGGTTGTTCCCGACCGACATCCTGCTACAGGTGGCTAATGACGGTGATTGATTGCAATGCGGGGGAGGAGGTGCTGGCATCCCAGCCTTTGACGTCTTGCTCTCGATCCAGGAGCTTTTATTTTGCAATTCTTCTGCGCTGAGCGCTCAACAGACGCTGGGAAATGTTGACAAAGGAGGACGTTGCCCAGAGTGTGGCAGCCTCCATTAATTGCTTTGGGTACCGCAGTTGTTTACTTGTATCTGACTGGGCTCTAGCAGCTTTCCCAGGGCTCCCCAAGCAGCTGGGCACGTTCCTCTAGGCTGGAGACGGCTGCATTCATCTTTGATCGCAGCTGCTTTAAGCAACTGTCAGCACTGGCCTCTGAATGGAACCTGTTCTTTCTTGAAGGCCACGTTCTTTAGCTCATGACTTGAGGACATGTAGCTACGAAGACCAGTGATTTCAAAAGGGGCGTCTGATGTGGGGTGTCTCAGTGTGAGATGCCATGGATGGCAGAGCATTCGCCATGCCAGCTGAAGTCAATGGCAGCCTGGGGTGTGCACAAAGTGGGGGGAAGCAGGGGCACCCCCAATAATCGTCAGGGGCACAGAACTCCTCCGGCCCTGGGGGTGGGGGGCAAAAAGGGGAGAGTGAGCTCCTGCCGGGGCAGTGTGTGTGTGGGGATGGATGAGGGAAGAGCGAACTCCGACCAGGCCTGAGGGGTGGGGGGAGAGGTCCTGCCTCTGAAAGTAAGCCCTGGGTGAATCAAGTTGGGCACCCAAAATCCTGATCCATGTGGTCCCTTTTCTAACTGTAAGGCCTAGGTGTGTGTGAGATCATGCCACTTCTTACGGGTCATTGTGATCCTTCTGTCACTGGCTCCTGTGCTCAGTGTGGTCTGGTGGTTCCTTTGCTGGCTTAGGCGACCTGGGTTCTACTCCCATCTCTGCCACAGCCTTGCTGGGATACTGTGGGCCAGTCTCTGTGCCTATGCTTCTTTCCCAAAACTGTGTCCTCCATGTTGTGAGTCAAGCCCTCCCTTCTTGCTGGTCGGGTTTCTCCCTAAAGCTGACTGGTGTATTTGTCTCTTTCCTTTAGGTGCCGTGGCTCCATGCTATCTATGCCGTGCTGGGTGCAATTGTCTTTACTATGGTAAGTGACGCCGAATCCCAAGGAATGGGAGATTGAACTTGGCCAAATCAATCAATCAATCGGGTAGCAAATCGCCTGTCCCTTGCAAGGCAAGACGAGCAGGGGGAAGGAGGTGGGGTGTTTGTACTGAAGGAGGTGGTGGGTTTTGTACTGCAGAGCAGCAGGGACGTGTTTCGGACTTTCCCTTCAGGAGACCTTCATGTCCAAAGGTGGATGACAAATAACAATCCATGGGATCATCTGGGCCTAGTCCCTAGTGTGCCTGTGTCTTTCCCACCACATCAGGGCAGCGTCTGGCCTGGCTGGTGGCCCTGGTTTAAGGCCAGTCATGGTATGGAATAGCGACGGGAGTGAGGTTCATCAGCACAGCTGGGAGAGTAGCTCAGGATGGAGGGGCCTTGGCAAAGCGGTGCGTGTCTCTGGGGGTGAAGCGGTTAGGATTGGGGCAGGGAGGCAGTGAGGGGGAAACCTGCTGGTGACGTAGCAGGCTGGGAGGAACTCTGCAGAGCTCCAAGAAGCAGAGACCTTCAGTGTTGCCCAACAGGGGCAAGAGAATGATTTGTTTGGATATTGATTGGGAGTGGGAGCTACAGCTAGACCTTCGTTACCTTGAAAGGGGATTGAACTTCTAAATTCCTGCCTGGAGGGTGACCCAGACCGAAACGGGCCACTGTGGGGCCAAGGAAGCCCAGTCAGAAGGGGGCGCTGGAGGGAAGGGCCCCCTGCAATCCTGCATCCTGCCCCAAGGTGGGGCCCTTGACAAGGGGCACTAGCAGAGCTGTGGGTGCGGGCAGCCCGAGACTAGAGTAGCAGAGTGTGACACGGGGGCAGGATGGACATCGCTTGGCAGAGCCATGTGTAGAATTTAGGACTGAGATAGCAGGCGGAGAGGGGTGCTCCATTGCAGCCCGGGAGGGGTGGGCGTGGTGTCAGAGCTGTGGGTCCCATGCAGATCTCCCTGCCCCCACTCCCGAGGCCCCTACCCTTTTGGGTCAAAAATACTTGCTTTATTATACCAAAAACAAACGTTGGGCCTGTACACGAGGGAGCTTCCAGGCAGCTTATCGAGCAAGTGTTTCTCCAGAGCGTACATTAGCAGAACCACGTTTGCCGTTCGGAAAGCAGGAAGCACCCGCTGAAGGTGCCACCCCAAATGGGGGGTCAGGAGGACAGCTGCCTTGGGGCGAGGCTGTGCCATCTGGGCCTGCGGGGAAATACAATAGCAGTTGAGCAATTCTTTTAATAGCTAATAAAGTCAGTTATGAAGAACTCAGATGTTTTACGATCGCCCTGTAAAATGTGCCCAGGGTTAAATGGGATATAACTGGCTCGTAAACATATACAATCAGACCCTCAACTGCTGAAGCCGATGGACCGGGCCTCTCGGGCCAATTATTATTTCTGTCACAGAAGCCCTTAGGAGACCCAGACCCCATTGCGCTGGGCATTGCATCTTCACACACGCTGCCCCAAAGAGCATAGTGCAACCAGAAAAGGCGCAGGGACGCGGCGAAAGTTGATAGATGAGACAGACGTAAGGTGGTAGGGGGAATTGGAGGCTCAGAGGCCAGCCCAAGGTCACACAGGTGAGCAGCAGAGCCATTCAGGTCCCCGATTCCCCACCTCCTAGACCGGGCCCCCTCTCTGCGCCGTTTGGCAAAGTCACCCAGTCACCGTGCGGGGAGGGGAAGGGTATAATTCTTTATAGCTGTAGCGTGACTGTGCCTGGAATGTTGTGCTGGGTTTGGGACAGCACGTTACCAGGCGGGTATTGCTCAAGTGGGAGGAAATGCAGAGAACAGCAACAGAAACAATCCCGGGGCTGGGGGAAGGGACTCGCAAGGAAGAATCAGGCTCCTTGGCCAAGCGGCAGCCAAGACGGGGGGCTCCGGGGGTGAGGCGATGGAAGTCCCTGAAGGTAGTTAGCACCAAGGAATTGCTGGGGGTGGGGTATAACTGGGAGGAATGGAATGAAACTAAGAAAGGAGGTAGCATCAGCATAAGTTGCTTGACCATGAGACCTGTGCTGCTGCGGAGTTGTCACCCCAGGGGACGTGGCCAAAGCTCCGTGGGTTAGAACCTGCAAACTGGACAAGACAGAGCCCTCGGTTGTACGCGATGTGGCTCGGGGCCAGGTCACTGTGGTGAGAGAGGGCAGCCCTGCTGGGTGCAAAGGCAAAGGCATTGGCCTGATGGCATGTGAGTTGCCCTGGGGTTATCAGAGAAGTCCGTGGCAGAGGTGGAGTGGAGCCAGGCAAAAGTTTAGTAATAACCTGAAACTCATAGAAACAGTTGCTTAAGGATTGCAAAGCTTAGGAGGTCATGAGTTTCAGTAGCGAGCCTGCAGGGTCCCTGGTTCTAGGCCCCCCTCACCCTTGTCCCCCTGGAACACAGTGACCCTGATGCTTTCAGTCACTCCAGTCCCCTTCATCTGCATGTCACCTCATCTGTTGCTGGTACCAGACTCTAGCAAAGTGGGTGCATGCCAGGGTGGCACTCAGACAAAGAGGGTTAGCTGACCAGTGCCTGGCTGCTGTTTAGCCTGGAAATTAAGATTGGGTTCTCAACTCCCACATGGAGAGAGCCCTCCCTCCTTATCCTCAGCTGGAATTGAATTGCCCAGCGCTATGGGCAGGGCTGGAGTGAAACCAGTTTGGGTCACTGTTGTGACCTGCTTCCATGAGCCATACTGGGAGCTGCATCCTTAACAAAACAGCGCATAATTCCTCCTGCATCTTCGACCACCTTGGGAATAATCCAATGCACTGCGGGATAATGGGGTGGTAGCCTGGCCAAATCTCCTTTTGGAGTGTAGCAATATCTATCCACTCCCCTACACAAGTCACCCAGCAGGCCAGTGGGAGAGTAAGGACTTGAACCCAAGTCTCCTGAGTTCCCATTCGCTGCTTTGCCCGCTGGGCCATGCTGCCTCTCCATGATAAAGTTTTGAAGTGTTGTCATGGGGTGGTAAACAGCAGCTGAGTTCCACCCAAGAACCAGCTGCATTTTAATAGTGGGTATAATTAAGCAATTCTCGTAGCTGTTGATTGGGCTCCTTGGGGGCAAAAGGGTCCTGTGGCAAGCATGCGATGTCTTTGTGGGTCTGTTTTCCCTCTCTCTCCCCTCAGTTCCTGGCATTCGACACGCAGCTGCTGATGGGGAACCGCCGGTACTCACTGAGCCCAGAGGAATACATCTTCGGAGCCCTCAATATCTACCTGGACATCGTCTACATCTTCTCCTTCTTCCTCCAGCTCTTTGGCTCCAGCCGGGAGTAAGTGCAGTGAGAAAGTGTCTGTCCTCGCCCGGCGAAACAGAAAAATGTTAAAAAAAAAAAAGAGGGGAAAATTATAGCCAACCTTTCTGGTCCCTTTGCCAGCTCCATTCCATCTACTGAGCAACCCCCCTGGTTCCTTCTGCAGCCTGTACATATGCTGTTAACCCTTTGTGACCCAGAAAGCAAACTGGAGTGGAAATGCTATGCTTCCTCCCACCCCCTGAAATCAAACCAGAGCAGGGTCGGTAGTGCCGGCAGGGCAGAAGTCTGGGCTCTCCCATTTGCAGAGGGTTCCCCTTCTGGCTTCGGCACATTATTGCATATAGGCACGGTATGCTGTGTGCTGCCGAGATGCAGAGCCTGGCTGTGAAAGGGGAAAAGATGGGGGCTGGGAATTTGTTGGGGTCCTGGCAGGAGAACCAGCAGCTGAACAAAAGAAGGGAGTAGGTTAGGGTTCCAGGATTGCAAAGGTATCCACCTTCCCGCCTCCGTGCGCAATCTGAGTCATGTGATTCCAGTAGAGACGCAGCCTAGAAGTGAATGGCGCCTCTTGGTAGTCCCGCTAGCAGTCATCCACCTGCTGCGAGAAGAGCAGCTCTCCATCAGGGGCAGCCCCCTAAGAGACATCCCCAGCACCCTCTAGGCCTTCCTGTGTCTCCTTTCTACCAGACCACAAAACTGAGAACCCCCTTTCCTCCCATAATGCCTCCCAGGCCAGGCTGATCACTGATGTGGGACTCACCTACCCAGCCAGCTGCCTCAGGGGATGAGTAGATTGGAGCTGTCTAAGGGATGGGCCCCAGGCGGGATTGCAAACAGGTGTCAAGGGGTCATGATACCAGCTTGCCCTTTCTATATCACTAAATGGGGAGGGAAGGTAGGTCCCAGTTAGATCCTGGCTAGATGGGAGCCAGGTCCTGGGGTCCTAGGATGGAAAAGGTGAAGCACCAGCCTATGCAAAGCCAGGAATCCTGTGCCCCTGGGGAAGATGGCGAGATTGGACGAAGACCCTAGGGACTCATGGATTCATTAGTGTCCTACAATAATGGCTTCGAACTCTAGATGCTCCATCGTACAGTGCATCCGGGGTCACCACCACCACGAATGCAGTTGTATTGCTTGGTGAGCATGCACAGCTTGGAAGGGCAGAGAGGTGTCTGCATCACACCCTGGTGGTACTGCACGGATGCCCCCATGCAAGCTCCCCAGACTGCAGATTGGACAGCAGGTGCTGGAGAGGTCTTCTTTCTAACCACTGGAGAGCATCACGTCCACCAGCAGGGTTGGGTGGCATTAATGCTCTTGAACAAGATTCCCTGACCCCCCTCCGTCCTCCATCGCAGCAGGGCAGCAGAAGGTTCCTTCTCCTGAGGCGACTTCTGAGATGCTGAAACTGTGGAGCTTGTAAACACTGACGTTACGTGAGTCACCCAAGAACGGGGTGCCAGCTGCAGGTCCCCTAAAGCTGGATCTCCATGCAATTGCCAGGCCTGCCTCGTGTGAGCTGGCACAAAGCATGACGAGCTAGATGTTTCTTGCACTACCCTTTGCTGGTGAGCAGATGTTTCAGCACCTCTCCTCAGAAGGCACTTAGTACTCAAGGAACAATAGCTGACGTGCGGCCTGTCGCTAAGGAGAGAGAGTCTGATGAGTTCTGCAGGGACGGAACCAAATGAAGTTGGACCAAATACCAATATCCCTGTTTAAAAAAGTCCATTCTACCAGCGTGAATAACGTGGCAGAGGAGCTGATCTAGGGTTATCCTGCCCCATTGTTACACGTTCAGGGGAACCCAATGCAGTTTTGAAGAAGGAAACTGAGGGATACACCCAGGAGTACCCAGGAAATACCCACATCATTTAGTGAGGGCTACCGAGGTGGCATTCCAAGAAACCACTTGGAATAGAGTGCCAGGTCTTAGTGTGCTTGTGCCAGGTTGTAGGACCCTGAGGACAAAAAGAGCTGTCCTGCTGACTCATCCTGGCAGCTAGATCAGGTGGATCCTATTAGCCTCAACCCAGGATATAAAAGGAATTTTTGAGTGTCTCCCTGAGACAGAGAAAGCACTAGGGTCAGGAACAGAGGAGGCCCTTCAGGGAGCAGTTGCAGAAACAGCAAAACTCATGCGCAAGCTCCGGTGAGACGTTTCTAATTGTTGTTATGGACCTTAAAGGTAGAGGGGACACTAGGAAAAAGGGTAAGTTTGGACTTGAGCCTGGATGTGTGAGGAGAAAAGGGGGAATGCCCATGCTGCTGACACAGAGTGGCACCCTGAGAAATGCCCACTATCCGGATGGATCACTGAGGATGACCCAAGAACCACCCAGGCGGGGCTCTCTCTCACAGAACTAACTGAAATGCCAGGTAGTGAAAGCAGCCCCTTTGCTATTCAGCTATCCAGGCCCTCATTTTCAGCTCCCCTGCCCTCCAAGCTGGGCCCTTTGGACAACCCCGAGTGCACCAGTATCTTTCCATCTTTGCCCTGTTAATATCCCCCATTTGGAAATCAACTGGCTAATTAACGGTAGGGCCCCAGGCTGAGATAAGATAAGAGGCATTTAATGCTTATTTAAAAGGCGATCTCTCCCCCGATAGGGCCCTTTATCTGAAATCTCCCTGGGAAGACCAGGGCATGTGCGTCAGCAGGTTGCTTCTAGCCATTCCAACCCGCTGGAGGGGGAACCTGTGCCAAGATCTCCATACTGTACATTCCTTCTCTGCTGCTGTCCTGCTTCCCAGGCATGCACACGCCTTCCACACGTGCCTCGGCCCCGCGCTGGGCGAAGCAGAGGAAAGTTACTGTGCACAGGGTTGTAGGAAGTAAATCTCATGTTCCTTTACTGCGCCTCTGCTGATCCCTCATGTTCAGAGATAATCCTGCTCTTCCCACACCCCTGTCCCTCCCGGTTCCTTATTGCCTGATCCAAGGACATCACTTTTGTACACATTCAGGACACAGCGCGGGCACTCTACCAGGGGGATGGGCGTCTGTGGAAGGCTCCATCTGCAGGGACTTAGAGATGCGGCAAAGTGCAGCCCCTCTGAACTTCACAGCGACAATGGGGGAGAGTTGATGGTGTCGTTCTGGATTTACAGCAGTGGGGACAGAGCACAGGATTTGGCCCCTCTGGGTTGTATGTCGACATGTCAGTTGGAGGTGTGATTGCAGCTCGGGTAGGCATACCTCTGCTGGCTTGAATCTAGCCAGCGGGGTTAAAAATAGCAGTGAAGCCCTGGCAGGGTGGACCCCGGCACGGGCTAGCAGTGTGAGTACGTACCCTGGCTTCCAGGTGGGCTTGAACAGCCCGTACTGCTGTTTTTAGGTGTGCTCGGTGCTTGAGGGCAGGCCTACCTGCCACCATTACAGTATAGACTCTGGCTGGGTCAGCATCCTGAGAGATCTGCTGGCAGAAAGTGGCAGCTGTTTACTCAAGTTATACTTCTTGGTAATAATAATTAGCACTTACCGTCTTCAGAGCTGTTTACAGACATATAGGCCAAAATCATCAGCAGTGGCCAGTGAGTTTTATTATTATTATTTTGTGTTGCCGTAGCCCCTGGAGCTCACAGATCAGGACCCCATTGCTAATGGAAGGTTAAAATGCTAAGAGTTTGATTCCCTTACATTCTGGGGACATCAAAAGAGCAGAAGAGAGAAAGTGCTGGCTGCAGAAGCTTTCCAAGCCGGGACCCAGTTCACCATGGCCCTGCGACATGACTCTTCATTTACACCAGTGCAAAGTGGGCACAAAATGCAGGTGTAAATGATGACACATGGTGCAGGTTTAGCAGAGAAGCAGGCCTGATTACTACCAGGTGAAAGGAGAGAGCTGGGTTCATACTGGTCCCAGCACAATTTGCTTCTTAACATATTCGCCCTGCCTGTCTCCTTGAGAATGAGTTCTTACAAAAGACAACCCCTAATCCACAGATTCCTTTATTTATGAAATCCCTACGGCGTGCAAAGGAAGCTGCAAATAGGCTGTTATATATTGTAGCAAATCCATGATCACATTGGCTCTTCCTAGATGTTGCTGCACTGCACGCAGTGGCCATTTAGAACTTCACAGTGACAGTAGGGATAGACCATGGATCTTTCTAGTCCAAAAGCCCAACCCACTGGGTGAAAGGAGAATCTCCATTAGATGCTGGCAGTATAGGGCCTATGACACACATATGAATTATGTTTCTATCTTGTAGCGTGTGGTGGTGCACGTATATATTAGCTGGGTCAGTGCAATATCTTGCACAGGATGCTGCAACCCTTAATACAGAGAGGAGGATGGAGGAAAGGAAATAAGTGCCCTGACAAAGAAAATTATTGAGCACTTGGAAACAGGGGACAGATGGTTTGAGGGATGCGATTACAGGGGAGAAATTGTCTGGATATCCCCCTCACCCCCTAGTCGAACCCTCTCTGCAAGGATCTTAGCAGAAACTGAAAACACAGTTTACCTCATTACCTACCCCCAGACAGCTACTGCAGAGAAGGGCAAATGCTTCCCTCTGCACCTAGGCCAGGGCTGATTTTTTGAGGCATTAGCAGCCTCCTGAGTTGCAATCTTCCAGCCTGAGAAGGACCTGGATGTGGACAGTCACATACTTTAAGGAAAAGTCCAAATCCAAGTCCAAACTTTGCAGCTGCCTCCCGTCTCTACAATGGGTTGAATCAGAACCCTGAATCCAAATGCCTCCTGGACTTCGGGAGAAATTTGGATCTGGCTCCTGGTCCAAACTTTGCCCCCTCTCTCTACAAGCGGCTTGATCCAGATGCCAGGTATACTTTGGGAGAAGCCCCGATCTGGATCCCAACATGGCCACTTGGCCCAATCTCTTCTGCAGTGTGGAGTGATTCACCTTTCACCACCAAGGCCTGACTTGCTGCTACTGCAGTGGAAAACACCTGCATGGCACCTGCTCGTCTCTCTCCAGGGGAAAACAATTAAACCAGAATAGCTTGCTGCCCCTTTGTGTTTCTTGGTGGAATTGCAGGGGCTCCCGTCCTTGCATGTCCCATCTGTTCCGGTTGCTGCTGTCACTGATGCTATTTAGCCTCCTCTGTGGATTTCAGCTGATCCAGCTCTCCAAGCAAAGGCCTGATCCTGTTCCCCGTTGAAGCCAGCAGCAAAAGTCCCTGGCGCTTAGATACAACAGGGATGAGGAACATGTTAGCACCGAGAGGGACGAAGTCTCTGTTGGTTTCAGTGACGCAGGATAGGGGCCCTAAGGGAGACATATCAGAGGGCAAGGGCTGGGTTTTCCCTACAGGGGCTTGGGTGATGCGGGATTGTTTGTCTCCATCCATACAGCTCTTCTTGCTCTGCACTTGTTCTCGAGCCTCGAAATCCCAGGTCCACCTGTGACCAGTGCACTCCTCCCTCCCTCCTTCCATTCCTTTGATTCTGTTGTAAATAAAATTTTGTATTTTCTCTGGACATTGCTAATAAATTGTTGCAAAACTGGGAAGATCCTTGTTTTTCTTTCTGGTGGAGGCGAGGGTAGAGGCAGAATAATGTACAGCAGGCTTTGTAGATTAGTTGTTGTTGTTTTTTTTTTTTTTAAGGCCAGAAAGAACCTTTAGATCATAGATTCTAAGGCCATATGGGACCACTGTGATCATCTAGTCTGACCTCCTGTATAAAACAGGCCAGACGATTTCATCTGCTTACTCCGGGATTGAGCTGAGTAACTTGTGTTTGACTAAAACATCTCTTTCCAGAAAGGCATCCAGGCTTGATTCAAAAACTTCAAGAGATGGAGAATCCACCACAGCTGTATCACCCTCAGTGTTAAAACAAAGAGGGCCTTATTTCTCATTTGAATTTGTCCAATAATCACCCTCAGTGTTAAAACAAAGAGGGCCTTATTTCTCATTTGAATTTGTCTGGCTTTAACTTCCAGCCTTTGGTTTCTGTTCTGCCTTTCTCTTCTAGATTAAAGAGCTCTTTAGCAGATGATATTTTTCTCCCCCTGAAGCATAGGCGCCAGCTTCCTCCGGGCCCACGGGGTGCTCAACCCCTCGCTCAACCCCAGGCTCTGCCCCTTCCCCCACGCCCCCACCCGCCCCACCTCTTCCCGCCCAGTTCCGCCCCCTCCTCCCAAGCATGCCCCATGCCCATTCCTCCCCGTCACTCCCAGAGCCTCCTGCATGCCTCAAAACAGCTGATCGCGCAGGCGGTAGGCGCTGGGAGAGAGGGGGAGGCACTGATCGGCGGGGCAGCAGGCGGGCGGGAGGTGCAGGCGGGAGGGGGGAGCTGACTGCCAGTGGGTGCCAAGCACCCACAAATTTTTTTCTGTGGGTGCTCTAGCGCTGGGGTCAGGGCCTATGCCCTGAAGGTATGTATGCACTAACCAAGTCGCCTCTTCTTTTGGATAAACTAATTGAGCTCATATATATATAAAATTTTATTCTCATAGCAAAATGACTAAGAATTATTATTTTATCAACTACAATTGGTTAATAACATAGTAAAAGCATCCTGTTAGATTGGTTAATCGTTAAATCACGCGGTGTTTTAATTTCCTGTGCTGCAAGGAGCTGCAGGAGACACTAAACAGCCACTTGTGGCTCACAAGCCTCAGTCTAAGTATCACTGGTGTAGGGGTGTGTGTGTGTGTGTGTGTGTATATATTGCAGTTATTAAATGTGAAACCTATCATGGGACAGAATTCCTAGAAAGGTAACTGACCTGGGTCATTGCCATATAAACATCATTCTATCCATTACCATATATGAGAGGGATAATTAGGAACTCTCAGTGCTGAAGCCTGTTATGATCCTCAACAGAGTAAATTGCTGATGACTCAGGCCGCTTTCGACACACACGGCTTCTTGCGCGGCAGTGCTACGTTAGCTCGGTTTCACCCTTGTTGTGCCAAACGCAATGTATAAGAGCCGATGATTCGCAGTGAGGGAAGGTGCGTGCCTGGGCTCAAAGGAACTGCCATCTGGGATTGAAGCAGTGGTAGGATCCTTTGTCTGACAGAGGCCAGTATCAGCTGGTTCAAAGGCAGGTGCAAGAAATCCTAACGTGAGTTAAGGGGGTACCCTGTTTACTGGATTCCCCCTCAGTTAAAGGTTGGCTTACACCCTCAAGCATGAGGGCTTATATCACTGTGCACTGAGGGGTGTACTACCTCGAGAAGGCATGGTATGGAGCAGACAGCCAAGAGAGCTGGGGTGCAGTCAAGGAGCCCCCCGCTCTGGGCTATATAAACTGGGAAAGGAAGCTTAGCAAGGGAGGAGGGAGTAGGAGCCATGCTGGCTGCTATAGGGTGCAACCCCCCCCCTCCCCCAGGTCACTAGCCTGACCTGGGCCCTCGTGACTTTGTTCAGAGTAGAAGTTTGGTTGCTCCAACTCAAGGCTCTGTGGTAAGGACCATGTGATCTGGGTTCAGCGGCTCCTCCCCGGCGTGATGCCGAAGGGAAAGGGAGAAACCTGCCTGTTCAGTTTGTTAAACATAAAGGTACGGCTACACTGTAATTAGACGCCCGTGGCTGGCCCGTGCCAGCTGACTTGGGCTCGTGGGGCTTGGGTGGAAGAGCTTTTTCATTGCAGGGTAAAGGTTTGGACTGTAGGACCTTGCGAGGTGGAATTGTTCCAGAACTCAGGCTTGCTGCTAGAATGTCTACACTGCAAATAAACAGCTCCTTACCACAAGCCCTGTGAGCCTGTCAGCTGGCACAGACCAGCCACATGGTTTTAATTGCAGTGTATACATACCCGGATCGGCGGGCAGCGATTGATCCAGCTGGGATAAATCTAGCCTAGATGTGATAAATCAACCCCCGAGAGGTGCAGGCGGAGTCGACGGGGGAGCAGCCGCAATGGACACACCACGGTGAAAACACCATGGTAAGTCGATCTAAGTATGTCAACTTCAGCTACGTTATTCACATAGCTGAAGTTGCATAACTTAGATCAATTTCCCCCCCCACCCCTCCTCCCCCCTAGACCAGGGCTAAGAGAACTAGGAACTTTGCTAGCTGGGGTTGGTTCACAGGCCTTCTTAAAGGGGACATGGGGTTTTTTTGTTAATTTGTTTTTTGCCTCCCCTTTCTCAGATTCTGTATACCCTTCTCCATTTTTATTTACGCGTATTCAGTATAACAGCGGATGGTCTCATTTGCCCCAGAATTCTCCAAACCTTTTCGAATCTTGCTGTGCTTTAGTTCACAATATCTTAGGCCAGTGGTTCTCAACCAGGGATACATGTATCCCTAGGGGTACACAGAGATCTTCCAGGGGGTACATCAATGCATCTAGATATTTGCCTAGTTTTACAACGAGCGACACAAAATGCACTGGTGAAATCAGTGCAAACTAAAATTTCATACAAACAGTGACTTGTTTATACTTCTCTATATACTATACACTGAAATGGAAGGAAATGAATTAGAATATGAATATTGGAATATTTCTAATTGGATGGCAAAAATAAGAACGTCAGCAACTGTTCAGTACTCGTGCGCTGTGACACTTTTGTATTTTTATGTCGTTTTTAAGTGAGGTGAAAGTTGGGGGTACACAAGACAAATCAGACTCCTGAAAGGGGGACAGGAGTCTGGAAAGGTAGAGGGCCACTGGCTTAGGCCAATGAGTTCCAGTGGCGAATTGAAAAGAATTCCTTAAAGGCACAGAGCACTCCTCATCTCAGAGGATCCAAACCCGCAAGGCACTTTCCCCAACCTCTGAAATGCAGCTGCCTCTGGGGGTGGAAGGTAGTAGCCGTCTAAATAGCACAGCAATGCATGACAGAAAATGAGAACAATATGGAATCCAGCTGAAACTAAAGAAGAAAAGGCATGTAAAAGCAGGATGGAATGACCAGCATTGCCATTGGCTAAGGAGAAATAATACCAACATGCAAATAGCGATAATTCATTGATTAACTGAACCAGTCCTTGGGAATAGGCCCTGAGAAGAAAGGCAGATCCTGGGGGATTTGAGAGAAGCTGAGTGAGTTGAGAAGGGGAACATTCCATTCGAATAACTGGATGCCACCTGTTAAATCTGGATTTATTGTGGTTAATACAACAGGAGCATCGACGAGCCCTAACCAGGTTTGATTCCCCCCTGTTTGTCACTTGCCCCATCCCCATGCTGAGACTGCATGGGCTTTACCACTCCAATCTGTGATGCTAGTGTGCTTAACATTCCCGTAACATGTAGATTTAAGCATGCATTATACTCAGGGGTTAGTTCTTGTATGGGAAGTAAGTGATCCTCTACTGAAGCTCCGGGAAGGTTTTCTTTGCTGCCACATGGCATGATCCAATGCCTCCTGTAGCCACTGTGGTCCAGATCCTCAAAGCAGGTATTTAGATTCCTAACTGTGGTTGCTTTCAGTAAGAATTAGGCACCTAAATGGTCATTGGATCAGGTTTATAGGGACCTGAAACCCTTGTATGGTGTGGCCACACTTTGTGATTTCCCCTAACCCTCTTCCCCTATGTGATGGGGCATCTGCTCACACTGGCCCATAAGGGGTTAATAGAGCCGTAGGGAGCCTGCACAGGAGGCAGCCAATTAGAGACGGGCTGTGAGGAGCAACCAATCAGGGCCAGGCAGGCCCATATAAGAAGGGCTGCAGGGCAGAGCAGCTTCAGTTGCTCCCTGGAGCTTGAGGAGGGACAACTGGCTTCTTTGCAGGAGGAGGAAAGATGGCACCTTGGACAGACCAGTGCTGGGCAGGATTGGGGAGTGAGAGCGAACTCCTGGCTGGCTGCTAAGACTGGCATAGAAAGGCCCGGAGTTAAGAGCAGAGAAGGTGCTAGAGCTGCGGGGAATTGGCCCAGAGAAGTAGACTGTGGGGTTGGAAGGAACACAGCGCATGGCTGCCATCTACAGGGTCCCTGGGCTGGGACCCGGAGCAGTGGATTGGCCTGGGTCCCCTCCCCCTAGCACTGAGGAAGCAGCTGGCCTGTCAGACTGCAATACTATCCCCCGGAAGCGGACGCCTCGGTCCTTGGGGCGACACAGGTCCAGAAGCAGAAGTGACGGCGGGCGAGACACCACCGGGAGCCGATGTACCAACCTGTGGAGCTGGTCCATAAGATGACCAGCAGGAGGCACTAGCATGGTGAGTCACACCCAAACTCCCACTTCCAATGGAAGTGGGATGTGGAAAAATGAGGCACATTGGCTTTCCCTGCTGCTGTCCCACAAATGTCAGGGGCTTCAGCTATGTGCTATATAACTTAGCAGGGCCTGGTATCTGGTTACTACAATCCTCTAAATATTCTATGTTCTAATATATTATATACTTGTAGGAATTCCTAGAAAAGCAACTGACTTGGGTCACTGCCATATAAACATCATTCTATCCATTAACATTTATCTAGGAGGGAAACGCTCTGTGGTGAATCATGTTCTGATTCTTAACAAGAAAAGCCTTTTCTTTTCGTGGATACAGACTAACATGGCTGCTACTCTGAAACCTGATCCCCAACAGAATCAATTGCTGATGACTCAGGCTGCTTTTGACACTTGGCCTCTTGAGTGGCAGCGTTTAATTAGCTCAGTTTCACTCTTGTTATGCAACCATTAGCTATAACAGCAGGTAATTCTCAGAAAGGGAGGGTGGGTGACCTGGCTCCTGGGAACTGCTGTCTGGGATCAAAGCAGTGATAGGATCCTATGTCTGACAGTAGCCAGTAGCAGCTGCTTCAGAGGAAGTTGCAAGAAACCCTAACCTGAGTTAAGGTATCTTCCAGGGTGGATTCTTCCTAACCCCCTCAGTTAGAGGTTGGTTTATGCCCTGAAGCATGAGGGCTTATATCACCATGTGATGGGGTGTACTACCTCTAAAAGGTACAGTCTGGAACAATGTTCCCTCTAACTTTTGACAGGCCACGTGTGCAAAAAATTTCTTCTGTGCAAATTGTTGTGTGCGTGGTGTTTCACCATGTGCGTGGGGTTTAGGATCTGGGTGCGTGCGCACACGTGCACAGCTTAGAGGGAACAGTGGTCTGGAGCGGATAGCCCAGACAGCCGGACCGCAATCAAGGAGTCCCTCGCTCTGCCCTGGGGGCTGGGCTATATAAACAGGAAGAAGGAAGTTGAGCAAGGGAGGAGGAACTTGGAGCCATGCTGGCTGCTATAGGGTGCAACCCCCCAGATCGCTAGCCTGACCTCGGTCCTCATGCCTTTGTTGTTCAGAGTAGAAGTTTGGTTGCTCTGACTCAAGGCTCTGCGGTAAGAGCTGTATGATCTGGGCTCAGCGGCTCCGCCCCGACCTGATGCCAAAGGGAAAAAGAGAGAGCCTGTCAGTGCACTTAATTTAATAATAAGGGCTGAATGTGCACTGAAAACGTACAGCGACATCAATAATGCAAAAAACCCACGCCCCTTTAGAGACATAGCTATGGCGGTGTAGACAGCGCTTGGTCTATGGAAAGAATTCTTCCGTTGAACTAACTACCCTCTCTTGGGGAGGTGGATTAACTACAGCGACAGGAGAACCCCTCCCGTAGCTGTAGTGAATGTCTACACTCAAGCACCACAGTCGCACAGCCTTAGTTTTAGTTTTAAGTGTAGGCATTGCCTAAGAGAACTAGGAATTGCACTGGCTGGGGTTGGTTATGAGGCCTTCTCAAAGAGGATATGTTGGTTTCTTTTGTTAATTTCGTTTTGGCCTCACCTCTCTTGGATCCTCTACACAGGTCCACATTTTTATTTTTTCCTGTGTATTACAACTGGATGTTCTCATCTTCCATAGATTTCAGTGGAGCAGCCATGATAGTCTGTATCTGCAAAAAGAACAGGAGGACTTGTGACACCTTAGAGACTAACACATTTATAAGAGCATAAGCTTTCTTGAGCTACAGCTCACTTCATCAGATGCATAGACTGGAACATATATATATATATACAGATAAGTTGGAAGTTACCATACAAACTGTGAGAGACTAATTAGTTAAGATGAGCTATTATCAGCAGGAGTGGGGGGGGGGGGAACAAAAGAAAACCTTTGTAGTGATAATCAAGATGGCCCATTTAGACAGTTGACAAGAAGGTGAGAGGATACTTAACATGGGGAAATAGATTCAATATGTGTAATGACCCAGCCACTCACAGGCTCTATTCAAACCCAAGTTTCTCATTGGAGTCTGTTTTTGAAGCTTTTCTCTTGCAAAATTGCCACCCTTAAGTCTTTTACTGAGTGGCCAGAGAGGTTGAAGTGTTCTCCTACTGGTTTTTGAATGTTATGATTCCTGATGTCAGATTTGTGTCCATTTATTCTTTTGCATAGAGACTGTCTGGTTTGGCCAATGTACATGGCAGAGGGGCATTGCTGGCACATGATGGCATAGATCACATTAAGAAAAGGAGTACTTGTGGCACCTTAGAGACTAACCAATTTATTTGAGCATGAGCTTTCGTGAGCTACAGCTCACTTCATCGGATGCATACCGTGGAAACTGCAGCAGACTTTATATATACACAGAGAATATGAAACAATACCTCCTCCCACCCCACTGTCCTGCTCCCCCCCCCCCCCCCCAGATGTTCTGGTTTAACTTGGATTTAAACTTGGAGAGTGGTCAGTTTGGATGAGCTATTACCAGCAGGAGAGTGAGTTTGTGTGTGTATGGGGGTGGGGGGGATGTGAGAAAACCTGGATTTGTGCAGGAAATAGCCCGACTTGATTATGTAAAGAGTTGTCACTTTGGATGGGCTAGCACCAGCAGGAGAGTGAATTTGTGTGGGGGGTTGGAGGGTGAGAGAACCTGGATTTGTGCTGGAAATGGCCCACCTGATGATCACTTTAGATAAGCTATTACCAGCAGGACAGTGGGGTGGGAGGAGGTATTGTTTCATATTCTCTGTGTATATATAAAGTCTGCTGCAGTTTCCACGGTATGCATCCGATGAAGTGAGCTGTAGCTCATGAAAGCTCATGCTCAAATAAATTGGTTAGTCTCTAAGGTGCCACAAGTACTCCTTTTCTTTTTGCGAATACAGACTAACACGGCTGTTACTCTGAAATAGATCACATTGGTAGATGTGCAGGTTAACGAGCCCCTGATGGCGTGGCAAATGTGATTAGGTCCTATGATGGTGTCACAAACCTTTTCAAATCCTGCTCTTGTTCTCAGTCACGGATGGGCCATAAGCCATTGTAGGCAATCACATCATAGCACTGCCTCCATAAACGTATCAAGTTCAGTCTTAAAACAAGTTAGGTTTTTGCCCCTACAACTGCTCTTGGAAGGCTGTTCCAGAACTTCACTCCTGCTTTGTTGATGAAGTAAGACCCAGTTAGCAGAACAAGGCCTTGTTGCGCCGTGAACTCTAGTCATCAAAGTGAGATTTAGGCCCAGATTTTAATTTCAGAAGTATTTAGGCACCTAACTCTCACTGAAATTGATGGGAGTTATGTGCTTAAGTACCTTTGAGGATCTGGGTCCGCACATCTGGAGTGAGGCCCAAACACCAGATCAAGGCCCAGTTGCCCTATTGCCAACCTCAAATGCTCAAAAATAATGAGCCAGACCCCCCAAGCATCATGAGATTGGCTTAAAACTAATGAGATTTTTCAAGAATAATAAGTTTGGAGTTCTACTTATTCGACTCCTGGTTTCAGCCTTTAGGCTGCACTCTACATTTTCAAGCTTTTCTCTACAACCATAAGGACTAGAAAATTATTTTTTGGGGGGACACTGGTTGGAGGGGGGACTTGCAGCTCACTGGGGGGCCCTGACTCGAGTGGGCTGAGGCCCCACGACCCCAACCCAGTCCTCGCTTTAACCCTGCCCAAGGCCCCCACCTCCCTCTGCGCCCCACATGACCAGGTGGGGGTTCAGTGGGGACCTGCGTGGCCCTGTCACTGGGCGCCCGCCCCTTGGTGCCCAGGCCCAGCCCTCGCAGCGCCAGAAGTGGGGGGCTGCGGCGTTCGGCCATCTTCAGCCTTGCAGACATCGACCCGCCAGCACCCCAGTTGCTGTATACTGAAATCAGTCACTGGGGGGGCTGGGCCCGTCCATCAGTGACACTAGGGGGGGGCCGGGCCCGTCCACCAGTGACTGATTTCAGCGTCACTAGGGGCCGTCGTCCAGCGTCACAGACACTCCCCAGAGCAAGGCAGGGAGAGGCCAGGGCGTGCCCAAGGTCAGGAGCAGAGCCGGGGCAGAACCCAGGAGTCCTGACTCCAGCCCCACCCCGCACACAGCTGAGTCCTACTTCTACCCACAGGGCTCGAGGGGACGTGGCAAGAGGCGGAGATGGCCCCGTCCGGACTGAAGGCGGTGGTGCGCAAGAGTGAGTGCGGAGCCGGGGGGTCTGAGCCCGGTCGGTGGGCAGGGTCTGGTTGGGTGTGGGTCTGGGGGGGCAGGGCCCAGTTGGGGAGCCCTGGGAGGGGTGCTCCTGGGGGTGTCTCACCCTCGGGGAGGATTAGGAGTCAGTCGGAGCAGAGAGCTCCCCCCCGCCTGCCTGTCACACACCAGGAAGGGGAGGAGGCTGTCTGCCCCACCCCCAAGGGCTGCCCCCTCCCATAGGAGCTGCATTTTGCGGGGGCGTCATCATCGTCATCTCTTTCCATCAGGATGACTCCCACCAGGGCCGGTGCAAGGATATTTTGTGCACAAGGCGAAACTTCCACCTTGCACACTCCCCCCTCCCCCCCCCCGACAACCTCTGAAAACTAGTAAAGTTAGCATTATAAACAGCCTGTCAGAACGGGTAACGGCTGCGCGCGAGGAGAAAAATGACGTCATAGCCACTTCGTAACATAGTAAAGCAGTACACTTCTGCCCGGCCCCAACACAGAGCTGGCGTAGGCTATAGCTGTAATGTAGGAGAGATCAAGGTAAAGCCTTACACTTCAGAAGCCCAACCCACTTTTGTTACTTCAGAAGCCCAACCCACTGCTGAATCTCCAGCCCAGGCTGCAGTGGAGGGGCCTGTGGCTAAATCCAGACCACAGACCTGGGGTTTAAAAGACCCTTGGAAAGTGGATTCAGTTCTGATGTTCCATGGTTGCCCCCAGAACTGGGACAGAGCAAAAGTGGCCCACAGCTCAGGACGGCCAGTGGTGCTAATAACCTTTAGCTCTTCTCTTAGCTTTTCCTCACTAAATCGCACAGTTAGGAGGGCCTGACACGTGACTTCTGAATACTTGGGGTGGGCCATACTGCCCTGGTTCAAGAGGGGTCTCTGAACAGGAATAGCAGGGGGCTGCGGGTCAGGAGTGAAGGGCATCTGCAGAGTCGTGAGGGGGGGAACCCAGGACTGGAATAGCTGCGGGTCAGGAGTGAGGGGCACTGGTGGAGCTGGGAATGGGGGGGGGAGCAAAGGGCTGGGATAGCAGGGGGCTGCAGTCAGGAGTGAGGGGCATCTGCAGAGCCGTGAGGCAGGGATCCCAGGACTGGAATAGCTGCAGGTCAGGAGTGAGGCAGAGCTGGGGGGGGACAGACCAGGGCTGGCATAGCAGGGGGCTGTGGACAGGAGTGAGGGGCACTGGCAGAGCTGGGAGTGGGTGGGAGCCCAGGGCTGGGATAGCAAGGGCTCCAGTCAGTAGTGAGGGGCACTGGCACAGCTGGTGGGGGCAGTCCAGGGCTGGCCTGGGTGGGGGGGGTGTAGCTGCAGTTCAGGGTCGAAATGCCTGGGCGGAGATGCGTGGAGAAAGCAGGTTTGTGTCTGCCTTCACCATGTCTGGATCCAGTCTGTGCTGCCAGCCCCTTACCGTGCACTCGAGCCCCACGTGCCCCAGTGAACGGGGCGTCCGCATGCCGCAGGTGTAAAGGAACTGCAGGAAAGCAGCAGGGAGGCCAGCGCGTCCTGGTGCAGAATAGCCCCTGGAGCCTCATTAGGACCGAGCAGCCAAGTCCTGATGGGCTAGAGGTGGGGTAGGGAGAGGCATTGCTTGAGTTATGGGGGAAACATAGTGTGTTGGGCAGTGCACTCATGCACACCAGCTACCGGGAGTGGGAGTGAGAGTGAGAGCACAGGTCAGGGTCTCGGGGCTATTGCCCTACGGGGCCAGCCAGAATCAGGTGCTTCGTAGGGGTAAAACAAACAGATGTATTATGGTAGCACCCAGGAGCCCCAGTCATGGACCAAGGCCCCATTTTGCAAGGCGTTGTACATTATTCATTAGGTGTATTACAGTGGTGCCCAGGAGCGCCAGTCATCACCAACAAAAAGATGGTGCTTGGCCTGAAGAGCTGACTATCTAATTGCTTAGCTGGGCTGTGGAAGGTGCCCAGGAGACAGGCCAGCAGTTCCCTGAGTGGGGCATGCCTTGGAGGGGTTCTATGTGCAGGACTCAGAATTTGAAGTCTTTGTTGTGTTGCTGTCCCCCATACACAGTGAGGGTCCCTGGATCCTGAAACACTGGAATGCGTTACCTAGGGAGGTGGTAGAATCTCCTTCCTTAGAGGTTTTTAAGGTCAGGCTTGACAAAGCCCTGGCTGGGAAGATTTAACTGGGAATTGGTCCTGCTTTGAGCAGGGGGTTGGACTAGATGACCTTCTGGGGTCCCTTCCAACCCTGATATTCTATGATTCTATGATTCTATGATCCCCTCCAGTCAAGAGGTGCTGGACAGGATCTGTTTTCTTCCTGCACGGGGCCAGATCCTTAGTTCAGCTGCGCTCGTATCCAGCCTGGCAGAAAGGAAGGGAGATCAGACCCATGGCCCATCTAGCCTGTCACCCCACCACGATCGCTGACTGGGGGCTCTGCTAGGAGCACAACACTATCTGGCCTGAAAGCAGCCTCTGAGCCACTTCCCCGAGGCGTCCTTCCACCAGCCAGTGGGTCCCGGCTCAGGGCACAGCCATCCCGTCTGAGCCCCACCACTAATCCCCGTCTCTTTCCCTCGCAGAGATCCTCAGCGTTGTCCTTCACAGCGTGAAGAAGAAAAGAGAATGGAAGGTAAGCAGGCCGAACCTGTTGCCCTGGTGTCCCCCTGGGGATATGCTGTATCCATATATCATGCTCCTCCCCCTCCAGCCTCTTGAGATTCATTAGGAACCTGAGCTTTTCCAGGCTGGATCAGATCCCTGCTCTGTCTAGCCCATCATCCATCCCCAGCTAGGCTTGGGTATGTCTGCCTTCCCACCGCGCTGGATCAGACCCAGCTTGTCCAGCTAGCCCCATATCTCCCCCCCCCCCCCCCCCCCCCCCCACACACACACCGGATCAGACCACTGGGACCAGTGAATCAGCCTGGGTGGGAGGAGAAGCAGGAGAGTGCCAAGCATGGGGCAGTATGTACCATTGGCCAGGAAGGTTATTGAGCCCCCGGCATGGACTGGGCTGGGGGATGTGGAGCAGCGGGTTAGGCCGGTGCGGCAGAGGGAGCATTCGGCACGGCAGGAAGGTGGTGGAGATGTTGGGCCAATGGCCTACAGGGCTTTCCTAGGGGAACACGGAGACTCCCCTTGTTTCATTTCTCTGTGCGCAGCACAATGTCAGGATGGGAATGGGGCCAGTAGGGGCTCCCTAGGAGGCTGCTTCCCCAGAGCTGGGCTTCATGTTCTTTGCCACGTGAGGCACAGACTGTCCCCCAGACCTCTCCGCAGTGCAATCCTGTGGGGATTGGATGGGCAGGTGCAGCAGGCGGAGAGAGGCGACCTCAGCTGAGACTCAAAGCGAAGGAGACTCGCTGAGGCAGAGGCTCAGGGAGCAGGGGCTGTTGGGAGGAGGCTCCTGCATCTGCAGCAGCAAGGTGAGTGGAGGGAGACCAGGGGCAGGGGGCGCTGGCAGAGCAGGGTGAAGCCCAGAACCCGCAGGGGCTGCCCGCGGAGGGAGCGCTGTAGGAGAGGACTGCGAGCTGGGGCTTGGGGCTTGGGACAGGGCAGCCATGTTCTCACCTGTCACAATGGCTGGTCGAGGGGTCTGAACAGGTTCCAAACACCCTGCCAGGCTAGCTGGCTTGGCGAAGCTGCAGGTGACCAGCATGGCGCCCAGGGAGGGAGGGGACCCTGATGGTAGTTGCCTGGGATTGCTGCTCGGCCGGCTGTTCCCTGGGCACTGCTCAGAGCCCACTTAGTTCAGCAGCAAGGCAATGCCAGGCCCCATCTGTGGCCGGGCATGGACACTTCTGTGGCAGCGAGAGATATGACTGGGCCCTAAGGATGTCCCGGGCACATGGGCACAAGCCCTGCTCCAGGTGGGGAGGGAGCCCAGAGCCAGGGGGGTAAAAACCAGCCCACCTCCTGATGGCATCATGCTAGGCCCTGAGTCCCCAGGGGCTGGGCATGGGCTGGGCCATTTGAGCAGCAGGGAGGGGCCTCGGCAGGTGCTGACAACCCCCTTCTTCCCCCTTTGCAGTCGGTGCAGGCTTTGATCAATGACTTCCAGGGCACCCCCACCTTCAACTACAAGGCAGTTCACGTCTTCTTCCTCAGCCGTGAGTATCGGGGGTCGGGGGATCCCCCAGCTGGGAGCCTGGACAGCGGCACACTGGAGCCTGGGGGTGGGGGGGTCTCTCTCTGCCGGCAGGCCAGTGCGCAGCACCCTGATTATGCTCTGCCCTCCTGCAGGGGATGCAGCCCCAGCAGGCCAGACCGAAAGACCCCACCTATCCCTTCCCCCGCTTCTCCCCCACGGGCCTGCCTCCAGCCAGCACGGCTCACAGACACCTGCAGCATGTGCCCAGAAAGGCGGCCTCTGGCTACCATTCCCAGCATGCATTGCTCCATCAGTCCCAACTCGGTGGGGGGATGGGACAGCACCAGAATACCCAGTGTGTCAGGGTCATATCTGCTTCTCCCCATTACAGCGGCAGGGGGAGCCCAAGTCCCTGTTCCTCCTTGTGCATCATCCTATGTTGTACACTCCGGTCACTCAGCCCTGCGGGGGGGCTGAGGGCAGGGTGTGAGACAGGGGCTGCGTAGGAGAGATTGTGGCTCCCCCTCGCTGCTGATGCTGCAGAAGGCGAGAACCCGGCATGACTCTGGTTCGTGGGGGCTGGACTCATCGTTGACTCCTGTGTGGCCCTGCTGGCTTGCCCAGGTTCCCCACAGGCGTGCAGCACTACTGCCCCTGCTATGCCCGGTCTGGCCCCGTCCGTGGGGGCTGGCACTGTGCTGGGGGTCCTGAGCCCTGTGCCTGTCACTCCCACCCACTGCCTCTGCCTTGCAGCCTGTCCTGAGCCTCTGTTCAAGGAGCTGAGGAAGTCACGGATCACCAAGGTCATCAAAACCCTCAAGGAGATCAACATGGCCTTCCTACCTTACGAGAGCCGGGTGAGGGGTGGCCGGGCTTTGGAGGAGCAGGTCTGCGGGGCGGATGGTGACGTATGACACTCTACCCTTATTGTTTCATGTGGCTTGGCGGGGGAACCTTTCCCTTCTAGGGCCCCGGGTTTGACGCCAGCACAGGGCAGCAGGGACTAGCTGGCTGCTCACACCCTGTGAGCTGTGGAATCGCTGGCTTCAACCTGGTGGATGTATGGGGGAGGAGGGCCCTGCCTCCCTGGCTTTACCAGCTCTTACTGATGGTTTATACTAGGCCTGCAAGACAGCCTGATACTCCACACGCCTGCCCTTTACCCAACCACCCCATCCCCTCCTTGTGTCATCAGTGGATTTCCCCCCCTCCTGCCCCTGAGGGGCAGGACTGTGGTGTCAGCCCCATTGCATTGATGGGGAAACTGAGGCACAGAGAGACATGAGCCTGGTCTACACACAAAAGCTTTGTTGGTATGGGTTTGTTACAGGGACAGGAGAGAAAAAATCCCCTCTGTAACTGATGCAGCTGTGGTGGCAGAGCCCCTGGGTAGGTGCCGTTACGCTGGCAAAGCAGTCCTTTCGCCACTCTAGCTGATTTCATCTGGGGTACCAGTGCCAGCTGTGCCAAGAGAAGCTTTGGCTGGTATAAGCTGAGTGTCCGTCAGGAGGTTTTGCTGGCTCACCCGTCCCGTTGCGCCAGCAAACCCTTCATGGGCCGATACTATTTATTGGTGTCCAAGCACGTTTGTCCCCATGGCTCGTTCTGTTCGGCCAGTGAAATAAGCGACAGCGGCAGACGCGCCTTGATGCCGGGTTTGCCCGTGGCTGTGCTGGGGCTTTCGCCAGACGAGAAGCGTCGCCAAGCCCCCTCCCCCAACATTGAGGGCACCTGGGAGTCTGCAGCCAAGTAAGGACCTGAACCTGGGGCATCTTCATCCCAGGCTGGTACATGAATCTCTGGCTCGCTATCCCTCTACCACAACAGGAGTGGCACTGGCAAAGGGATCTCTCCCTCACTAGGGGCTCGCTACAGCTCCACCAGGCTGGCCTGATCCAACAGCGCGTCTATGGGTCACAGCTGGCCTGGCTGCAAGCAGTTGGCACCGGGGTCTGATCTCTGCTCTCCCCTGTCCCCAAGGTGTACTCCCTGGAGAGGCCATAGAGCTTCCACAACTGGTTCAGCCCCTACCGCTTTTTCGAAAAGAACAAGCAGATGGAGATGCTGGCAGAGCAGATTGCCACATTGTGTGAAACCCTGGAGGAGTATCCAGCCATCCGCTACAGGAAGTGAGTGTGCCCAGGGGAAGGGGTACCCAGCTATCCCCTATAGGAAGTGAGTGTGCCATGGAGAAGTACCCAGCCATCCTCTACAGGAAGTGAGTGTGCCCAAAGGGCGAGGGTACCTGGTTACCTCCTACAGGAAGTGCATGTGCCCCTGGGGAGGAGCTGTTTCTGACCCACAGGGTTTGTCTTTGCTGCAGGGACCATGAAGATAACTTCCACTTGGCGCACGCTGTGCTGGCCAAACTCAAGGTGTTCAAGGCATACGAGCCCAGCATGGGAGAGGTGAGCGAGCTGTGTTGGCCACGCCCTTGCCATGGGACAGAGCCGCGGGGGAGCACATGAGAAGTAGAAGGAAGGAGGAGTGATTTAGAACCTGCTCGGAGATCCTGGCGGGGGGAGGGGTGGGGTCTAGACACCCTTGGAGATCCTGAGGGGTTGGCAGAACAATAGCATTCCCTGTGTGGCTGGATTAATGGCCACAGCCCTTCTCTAACACTGGCTGTGGGCAGATCTCAAAGTGCTCTACAAAGGCTAGTGTCCTTATCCCCTCTGTATAGATGGGGAAACCGAGGCACCAACTGGGGAAGTGTGTGCCCAGCATAATCTCTTTGTTTATAAACAGGGCAGTTCGGTCACAGAACTAAGCTTCGCACACAGAGCCTCTTCCACACCTGGACACTCCTATCTGTGTGTGCTCCTACACCCATCACCATGGTATCAGAATCTCACGAATGAATTCAGCCTCCCAGGGGAGGCAGGGTGGCCTGTGTTACAGAAGGGAAACTGAGGCATACAGGGAGTCTGCCAGAGCAGGCATAGAACCCAGCTCTCCCGAGCCTTAGCCACAAGTCAGCCCTGGCCTGTGGGCTTCCCCTAGCTCCTGCCATCCCCATCCCACCCCCAGCGGAGGGCAGCTGCAAACCCACCCTGCCCTGGATTCTCACACGGGAAACCCAGTAGCTCCTGCCCCCCCAGGAGAAGCAAAGTGATGTAAAATCCAAGGCCTGCCCAGATCTCTCTCTCCTGTTGCCTCTGCTCTTGCTTCCAGCCTTTGCTGAGTTGCTGGGAGACTGTGCACCTGTGACCAACTGGGAATGTTTGTAATATTTTTTATGAATCTGATGCGTGCCTCAGTTTCCCTATATATTTCCTGGCTTCTCTGGCAGGGGGTGAAGGGGAAGGATTCTCGGGGAAGGTAAGAGTCATGCGGGGCGGGGGGGGGGGTGTCACCTCCCTGTCTTGGTGAAATGAAGAGAATCCAACACAGATCAGCCTGGGGGCCAGAAAGACCGTGCCAGCTCCAATGACTCCTGGCTGGATGCTCCCAGCAGGGAATTGGAGCAGGGCCCCCAGCTCGAGAACACAGGGTTGGAAGGTTTGAGCTGGGGGATGAGTGCGGGAAGCTGGGAGCTCTCGCCTGAGAACTGACCAAGGTCAGGCCGAGGCCTGGTCTACACGAGGCAATTGGGTCGGTGCCACTGTGTCGCTCGGGGGTATGGGAAAGGCAGCGTCACTGAAGCGGAGCAGCTGAAGTGGTTTACATGTAGACAGGCCCTGAGTGAGAGACCCGGAGCTGAAAACAGGTTTCTCTGCAGCTCGGCCAGGCTCTGGGCTGACCAGAACGGCCTCTTGCTTTAACCTTCAGTGGGCTGGGCTGCCCAGGCTGGGGTCCAGGTGCCTAAGAAACCCGACTGTTCTGACAACGCTGGGTGAGTGGCCCTGTCACCCGGGCTGAGGGGCGTCGGGCCCTGCGGAGTGGATGGGTCTCTACCAGGATCTGTCCCAGCTGGACTCGCTGGGCAGGGCTCACGGGGTAAAGACTAGTGGTTCAGTCTCAGGAGGCGGGAAGGCCATGTGGCCTGTCCTGGAGGAAGAGAGAGACTTGTTGGGGTCTGGCACAGCAAAGGGCTTCCTCCCAGAGATTTCCACAGCTGGGACCCTGGCACCGACCCTGTGGATCCATGACTGCACCATTCCTCTCTACTTTCCCATCGACCAAGACAGTGTTGCCTAGTGGATAGAGCCCTGGACTGGGACGGGCGACCCGGGCTCTATTCCCAGCTGGGTGACCTTGGGCAAGTCACCTCCCCTATTTACCCCTCAGTTTCCACATCTGTAAAAGGGGGATAATGCTACCAGTCTCGGGCAGGGGGGCCCCCTCTGGGATAGCTGGCTGCCATGGCACAGATGCTCTGTAACTCACAGCTGGCAGTACAGGCCTGCCTCCAGAGGGGAGCCTGGCACACACCTGGCTGCCCAAACCATCTACCCAGGGAAGAGACTGACAGCATGCTTGTTAACCACCGGAGCTACTTGCTGCAGCAGAGCTGGCTCCAGCCTGCAGCCCCAGTCTGATCTGGGCTATTCTCAGGAGCTGATAGCGGCGCTGGGGAGGGAAAATCCTGCTCTGTGCACACCCTGCTGCTGTGACTCCTGTTGAGTCCCCCCAGGGATATTCCTGAGGCTCTTGCCAAGCCTCCCTGTCACAGGTGAAAGCACTATCCCCATGTTACAGGGGGGAAACTGAGGCATGGAGCAGCATGCCAGGAGTAGGTGGCAGAGGCAGGAATAGGAATAGCCCAGATCAGGGGGACGGGGGCTCCCATTGCACTGCCAGGGGGAACTAGAGAGACCCCTGACCCCAGCGCCCGAGAGAACCTGTTGAGGGAGGAGCAGCAAGAACCTAAATTCGATCATTAACTGTGTGGAGTTCAGTGGGTTAGAGCGGATGGTGCTGGGAGCCAGGACTCCTGGGTTTTATGCTCAGCTCTGGGAGGGCAGTGGGGTCTAGTGGGATAGAGGGGGCCTGGGAGCCAGGACTCCTGGGTTTACCCCCAGCTCTGAGAGGGGTGGGAAGAGCAGGATCTCAGGATTTGATCGGGGAACTAGGACTCCTGGGGCCACGGACTCGTGTGCCTGGGCTGTGGGTGCGTCCCAGGGGTGCTAGGGCTGACCTGTCTGTCCCCGTGCAGGTGTGGACAAGGAGAACCTCACCAAGCTGATCCAGCATGCCAACATCCAGCAGCAGAGAGACATCATCCACAACATGCTGTTCCTGGGCATCTCTCTCACGCCTGGGGTAAGGGACTGGGGCCAGGGGCCAGCAGCTGTACTCATGCCAGGGGGCAGATCTGTGCTGCACAGGGGAGCCCAGGCCATCCTGGAGGTGCCGCCCTATGGCAGTGACCTACTCCCAGCACAGAGGTGGCCTCTGTCCCTGTACAGTGGGGTGACGCCCTCCCCATATGAGGGTGACCCCCGAGTTACTCCCCATCTGGGGTGACTTCTTCTGCCCTGGCAGAGGATACTGGGAGTCAGGACCTCAGATCGCCAGCGAGCTGGAGCTGGTGACCACTGCTTGGGGTGGCCATGCGGCGAATGGGGGGAAGCAGCTCTGTTCTCCCATCAGTCTCTCTCGCTCTCTCTCTCTCACTCAGTGATCCATTCTGTTTTCTCTGCCTCTCCCCTGCCAGCCTGGCTGGCGCGACTCAGGTAGGCCACGCTCTCCCTGTCTGCCCCCGTTCCCACCCCGCACCTCCTCCCTGCTGCCTCTCACCCCCTCTCCCTTCCTCCCCCAGAGCAGGCAGCTGCGACCGAAGAGGAAGGCGCGGCTGGAGTCCAGCTACCAGCTCTCCCACTGGATCCCCATGCTCAGGGACATCATGGAGGTCCCGGGCCATCTGCTTCCTGGCCTTGGGGACTGGGGTCACAACCGGCAGGCTGGGCCCAAGGGGGTGGTTTGGGGTCAGCCATGTGTAGAGCCCTGCATATCCGTGCCCCATTTCTGCGGATAGTGGATTGGCTGCAGATACAACCGTGCAGGGCTCTACTCCCCAGCAGCGCCTGGCCCGCGGCATCCAGCTCAGGCAGCCCGGGGCACGCAGGGCACGCAGGGCATAGCGAGCAGATCGAGGGACGTGATCGTTCCCCTCTATTCGACATTGGTGAGGCCTCATCTGGAGTACTGTGTCCAGTTTTGGGCCCCACACTTCAAGAAGGATGTGGATAAATTGGAGAGAGTCCAGCGAAGGGCAACAAAAATGATTAGGGGTCTGGAACACATGACTTATGAGGAGAGGCTGAGGGAGCTGGGATTGTTTAGCCTGCAGAAGAGAAGAATGAGGGGGGATTTGATAGCTGCTTTCAACTACCTGAAAGGGGGTTCCAAAGAGGATGGCTCTAGACTGTTCTCAGTGGTAGCAGATGACAGAACGAGGAGTAATGGTCTCAAGCTGCAGTGGGGGAGGTTTAGATTGGATATTAGGAAAAACTTTTTCACTAAGAGGGTGGTGAAGCACTGGAATGCGTTACCTAGGGAGGTGGTAGAATCTCCTTCCTTAGAGGTTTTTAAGGTCAGGCTTGACAAAGCCCTGGCTGGGATGATTTAACTGGGAATTGGTCCTGCTTCGAGCAGGGGGTTGGACTAGATGACCTTCTGCGGTCCCTTCCAACCCTTATATTCTATGATTCTATGATTCTATGATTCACTCGGGGCCGCCGGCCCGCAGCCAGTGGCTAGGCAACACGTCGGAGTTGGGGCTGTCCGGCACCCACTCGCCCCATCGCGCGGCTTCCTGTCCAGCAGCTCGAGCAGCACCAGTGTCCCCACCAGCTCCTGAGCAGCAGGATTTGAGATTGGAGAGGGTGAGGCCCCGGCACCCCACCCCTCCACCCCACTGTGATGCAACATGCTCTGCTGCTGCCGTGTACGCTCGTGACCCCCCAGGAGCGTCACGTGATGAGAAACCCCTTCCCCCCCAGCCCCTACCCCCTCCACACTGCCCCTTCTCCTCAAGACCCCGCCCCCACACTGCCCCTTCTCGAGACCCCGCCCCCTCCAAGCTCCCCTTCTCCTTGAGACCCTGTCCCCTCCACACTGCCTCTTCCCTGCAAGACCCCTTCCCCACCCTCGCTAGCTGCTGCCGGTGTGGATGCGGATACAGGTAAAAGGCGGCTTGTGGATTGCAGGCTGATGCACATCCACATTTTTGTATCTGCGCAGGGCTCTAGCCATGTGAGGGGCTCATCAGCGAGTCCTCTCCTGCTGCCATCCTTAGGGTCTTAAATCATAGACACGAGTGCAGGGGAGTTGTCTTACCCGGTGCTGAGATGCTGCCAGCTCTGGGGTGGGGCATGGGCAGTATATACAGGGGTTCCTCACTAGAGCTGAATTCTTCCTAAGGAGTGGCAGGCAGCTGTTAACAGCCGCCCAGCAGCGCTGCCCAAGAGTCTAGGGCAGGAGGTGATCAGTGTGTAGGGCTGGAAGTGCAGAGGATCCAGGCAGCACACTGTCGTGACTGGCACTGGAATCTGAATGGCTGGCAGGGTCCTTGGCCTAACCTCCAGTGAGGAGCAGCTGTGTGACGTTCATCTAAAGGATGAACTCCTGCAGCACAGTACTGGTCACTGACTGACCGGGGAGAGCACCCCCTGCAGAGCCCCCCGCCCACTCCCTGGGGTCATAGAGCACCCTCTGCTGACTCACTCACACCTCCCAGCACCCAGTGGCTTTTCCTTAGAGGTCTCCTATCCAAGCACTGCCTGGGCCCAAACCTGCTTAGCTTGTGAAAGGTGACATGGTCACTCCTTCCCCCCACCCTTGCTGGGGGCTGAGCCCCTCATCACCCAGTCCTGTGGGGCACTCCTCAAGGGGGTGGGGGGCACACTTAGTTGCCTTCAACCTACTGGCTTGGGGCTCCTCCAGGCCAAGAATTAACCCCCCGACCAGAGCTCCTGTCCCTGGCAGATCAGAGGTGGGAGGCTCCCAGGCCCCTGTTCCAGCATTGTGATGGTTCCTCCTGTGGGATTTTGGGGCAGGTAGTTGCGGTAACCTCAGTCCCATGCATAATCCAATCAGGGGCGCCCCCTTCTGCGCCAGCCACAGCTTGGCAGGCCTTAAGCTTCCCTGTACAAGTCAAAGCAGCGGACTAATGTAAAAGCCCCTATTATGTGGCATTAGGATGTATCATAGCCTGGGCCCCCTGCGTGGCTGGGACACACCTCATGGAGCAAGAGGCAGGGCCTGGATCTGCCCGCAGCAGGGAAGGAGCACTGAGGGCAGCCCCCTGCCTCCCCCACCCCAAGTGAGGGGCCCTGGATCCGGCTGCAGGAGGTCTCTGCCCTCCCCATAACGGTGGATGGGTAGGGAGGTCACAGCAGGGCACTGAGCAGCTGAGGGGGATGTGGGGAGATGGGGGCATCACTGGAGGAGTCAGCGTGCTCTTTGCTGGCTCTCCATGCCCCACCCTGGAAAGTGGGCCCCAGGCTGCTCCCCCCCAGGGACTGTCAATCATTGAGTGAGGAGCCATCTCAGCCCCTCCGCCCCAATGGGGCCTGGCTTGGCCACCAGGTCAGAGGTTCCTGCTGCTTGGCCCCTGCTGATCTGTCCTCCCCCGCCAGGACATCCTTGAGGACAAACTGGACAAGAGTCTGTGGCCCTTCGTGTCAGACCTGGTCCCTACCACCAGCTCCCAGGCTGCTGTCAGGTGAGGCTGAGCCTGGCTGGGCTGTGGACAGCAGAGCCCTGACACACACACCCCAGGGTGTGGGAGCCTCTGTGCCTGGGAGTGCATGGCCAGGGCCCTGCCTTCTGCAGGGGAGGGGGTGCCCAAGAGCCTGGAGCCCTGGACCCCTCTTACCATGTCCCCCACGCCCCAGCAGTCCCTCAACACACCAGGGTCCAGGATAGAGGAAAGGGACTGGACGAGCTTTAGACAGCACCCCCAGCCCAGGGCAGGTGCCACCCTCCCCTACTCCCTTCTGCCTGCTTTGGGACTCCTGTCCCACTGCCTTGGGCAGGGCCTGCCTCCCATCCTCCTCCAGGCCCTGCCCTTCCATGCGGCATTCCCTCAGCGAACCCCTAGTATCCACACTGCCCCTCTCTCCCCCCAGCCTCCGCTTTGGGCAGTGCCCACCCCTACACCTGGCATTCCCTCAGCGAGCCCCTGGGATCCACACTGCCCCTCTCTCCCCCCAGCTCCCGCTTCAGGCATTGGCACAAGAACAAGCCAGCGACTGAGTACCAGACGGGCCCGCGCCTCATCATCTACGTGCTGGGTGGGGTGTCCATGTCTGAGATGCGCTGCGCCTACGAATTGACCCCGGCCACCAGGGGCAAGTGGGAAGTGGTGATCGGTGAGTAGGGCGAGTCCTGGGGGGAAGGGTGGCTGGAATGCCCAGGTCAGGGACAGTTGGGACCCCCTGGGCGGGGGAGACCCTAAAACTGCCTGCCCAGCACCCACAGGGGGCCCTTGCTACCCTCTGTCCTCCCACACCCAGGGGTCTGGGAACAGATGTGCTTGTCCCACAAGGCCTGTATCTAGCCACCTGATCTCCTGGCTGCTGGCTCCCCAGGCCTCTCATTGCCCAGGGACCATGTGTGGGGGCCCAGTCAGACACCCCCAGTAACTCCCATAGGGATATGGCTCACCCCCTGCACACACCCCTCTAAGACCCAAGGGTGAGGAACACTGTCAGCGCGTGGATTCTTGCCTGGCTGTGCAGGGTACAGCGGCACGAGGGGTGCGGTGCCAGGCCACAGTGTAGGCATATTCCAATATTTGTGATTCTGTTCATAAGAAATTGTAAACCTGCAATATTGATTTATAATATTTATTAAATCTGCATTTATAATTCTTCTATTTGACATAATTGTAAATCTGCAATATTGATTTACAATTCTGTATTAAAGCTTGCAAACGGTACCTTGCAAACCGCTCAATTGGCTTTGCTTTCTCTAAATTGATACTTTCTCTCACTTGTTATTAAGATGGACGCTTGTAAAACCAAACCGCTCATATTGACTCTGAATTGATACTTTCTCACTTGTTATTAAGATGGACGCTTGGAAAACCAAACCGCTCATATTGACTCTGAATTGATACTTTCTCACTTGTTTTTAAGATTGACGCTTGTAAAACTAAACTGCTCAATTTGACTCTGAATTGATACTTTCTCACTTGTTATTAAGATGGACGCTTGTAAAACTAAACGGCTTAATTGACTCTGCTTTCCCTGTCTTGGCGCTTTCCATTGATTGTAATGGAGATTGACATGCTTTTTAACTAACTTCACTTTTTGTTCAATTGGCTCTACTTTGCAAACGGATACTTTGTAATGGAGATTGACATGCTTGTTTGTAACACCCATGAAGAACCGCGAATTGGAGCGGCGCTCATAGAAATGTCACATAGAGACTCCCACCTTCTATAGTTTGGATCAGGAATGCTCAAAAAACGGGGAGTCTCAAATAAATAACACCTTTGTATAATAAAAGAAAGGCAATACCGAAGGAATGTCAAGAGACAGGGAGTCTCAAATAAAATAACAATACTCGGTGAAATGAGAAATGTGTTTTTTTATTAAAGTAAGGAATGTATGTGAATGAATGGTGGGTTTTGAATAAACAGGGAAGCGCCAGCCTAGGAATTTAACATCGATTGGCCGAAGAAGACGCCAGGTGGAGACAACCAGAGAACCCCACCGGAGGGCAAACTGGGATCCACCCGACCAATTCAAAGGATGAAGAAAGCTGATGAGCACCTGACAGCCGTCCTGGAGCAGTCATGACTAAGAATATGACAAAGCAAATTCCACGGACTGGCATAGGAAGAAATTCCTATAAAAATGGACACTAAGGACTGAGAACTTTGAGTCTCCAGTTCTGCCACTACCCTTCAGGAGCATCGGATGCGCATCTGACACGGACTCGGCTCCACTCTCGTGTACAGGTTACCTGGCCAGTACCCTGTCACGAGCAACCTCTAGGCTGGTAACTATAAACCCCTATGCAGAACTGGTATGAATGAATGAATGAATGAATGAATATATATATAGATATATATATAATTAAGTAAGGAATAAGTAACGATAGGACAGTGTGAGTTTTATATTTCTTTATTATATTTACAATAAATGTGGCATTTTGCCTTTTCCCTTTAATAAGATCCTGCTGGTTTTTATTTTATTGGTACAACAACAGGGGGTAGGAGAGAGTCCCTCCCCTCCTGCACTAGAGCAGGGTCCAGCTGCAAGGATGGGGGTGACGGTGATGCCAGCCTCATACCCGCCCCACTGTGCCCACCGCTGCCAACCACCTCTCTCTCCCCCAGGTTCCAGTCACATCCCGACCCCCAAGCGCTTCCTGGATGACATCCAAACCCTCAACCAGCTGGACCCCGAGGAGGCCTAGAAGCAGCCCCCTCCCCCCAGAGACTCTGCCCCCCACAGCTCCAGCTCGCTGTCCCCAGCTCCATCTCCTCTTCTCAACAAGGCACCTTCCCCCCTACTCCTGGCTGCGGTGTCAGTTCTTGGGGGGGGGGAGGGGGGGAGGGAACGACTCCTTGGCTGTTAGGGCAGAGGGCAGGCCAGGCTCCCTCCCTCTGGCACAGCCTCTAGGGCTGTCACCCTTTGTGCCCTGTGGCCACCCTGCCCCCGATGGGGTAGGGGCAGAGTCTGGCTCCATTATCTACCAGCTTCAGCCATTCCTACCTCCCCTGCCTGGGACCCAAAGCACAGCACCTCCCCCTCCCCCTCCTGTCAGCCCTCCGCTAGTGATGCGGGGCACGCAGAGGCTGCTACCCCATCTGGCTTTGGGGGGGTTGTGATCCAGCCACTGAGCCCCAGGCTGTGTCTGTCCAGTCTGCAAAGGATTAAAGAGAACCCCCCTTCTGCCCCCATATCATCCCCATTCACCGCCTTGGGGTGCTGGCCCAGCCCTGGTCCCTGCACCCCTCTCATCACAGCCTGGCACCCTGGCCTCTTGGCCCTGTCCCCCAGTGGGGACCTCGGCTCCCGAAGGGGGGAGGGGTCCTAGCAGGAGTTGCAGTCAGAGTGCCCAAGTAAGTGGGGGTGGAGCCAGGACTGCGTAGGAGGCGCATCCAGGGTTGGTCAGCAGCAGGAAGAGTGACCAGATGTCCCGATTTTATAGGGACAGTCCTGATATTTGGAGCTTTTTCTTATCTAGGCTCTTATTACCCCCCACCCCTTGTCCCAATTTTTCACACTTGCTGTCTGGTCACCCTAGCAGCAGGGCAGAGCGGGCTCGCCACCTGATGGGCCTGGATCAAATGCCCCTGTCCAGTGACAGACACCTCCCCACTGCCTTTCCCTGCGTATCAGAGCCACGCCCTGGGCACCTGGAGCCCCAGCTCCATCTGAGGCAGCCAGCTCCAGCCCCCTTGGGTCTGATCAAGCCCTGTGCCAAGCCTCACCCCCTGCATCCCATGGGCCCTAGAGGTCCCCTCCCTCTTGCCTGCCAGGGGGGCTGTGCTGGCAGGAGTGACCCCAGGTAAAGGCAGTGACCTCCTTTACAGGGAGTGGCCTCGGTGGGGGGCAGAGTTTGTGTGTTCGCAGCTCTGAGGCCCCCCCCGCCCATGATCACAAAGTCAGTGCTGGCCCTGCCCCTGGCTACTGCCCTGCCGGGCATGTGCCTGGGCCAATGAAGTGCATTGCCAAAGGCTGGCCGAGGTCTCTGCTGCTGTTCACAGGTGGGGGAAGGGAGGGGACAGGGCGGGGTGGGTGGCTGAGGGCCCAGGGAGCGGGATCTCCCCAGCTCCCCCTCCAGCCCTGCTGCAGGTCCCAGGCGTCCTGGCTCCGAGTCACCCGGCCAGCGCTGCCTCCCCGCACCCGGGAGCAGGGTGGGGCAGTGGCTGCTCCTTTCACTGTTGGACCAGGGCCTGGGGGCTGCTCTGCTCTGGCCTGTGGTCGCCCCCTGCTGGTGCAGTGCTGGCTCACCCAGCCGTGCCCCAGAACCTCCACAGTTCCCTGTGTCCCCCTGCCCCTACTGCCTTGTTCTGCCTCTGGTCCGTGTGCCAGAGGGACCAGGAGGGAGCCCCAGGAGTCCCCCCAAGCCAGCTATAGGGTCTCCAGCAAGTGTGGATTGGGGCAGGCACTGAGCAAGCACCAGGGCCCAGCCCCAGGCTGGCCCCCACAGGGAACCATACCCACCCAGCCCCTGCCCCTCCCAGAATCAGCGCTGGAACCCAGCCCTCTGCATCCCAGCCCCTGCTCTAACCACTAGCCCCTGCTTCCCGCTCAGATGTGGGACAGAACACCTGCCTCCTTGGTCCCCCTCTAGGGCCTGGCCTTTGCCCCAACCCACACCTCCTCCATCCTCCTGTGCCTAGAGCTGCCCCAGGGTCCCGCCACCCCAGCTGCTGCTGGCCCCCAGCCCTTGGGGCCCTGGCTGGCCCCTGCATTGTGTGAGCAGCTGTGTAGGCTCGTCCCGCCAGCCAGGCCAGGCCTCCCCTCTGGCACCCTCTAGCCTGTGCCAACAGCTGGGGGTGCAGTGGCAGTGTCCCCAACCCCCCCCCCGCCCCCGCTCGTTGGAGGGAGAAAGGAGACAAGGAGGGGCTGTGAGAGAGCCCCATTCTCCTACCCTTCCCGCACCCTGCTCCCCCGGCTCAGCTCGGAGACTCGTCCTGCCTCTGTAGTCACTGGGCATGGGGGTTAGCGCCATCAGCAACCCCACCCCCCACCAGCTGGAGACAGTGAGAGACCAGTGCCAGGTCAAGGACCTGCCCCAGGACCCGGAGGAGTATGGGGGATCAGGGCCCAGAGCAGGGGTGACCGTGGTGGGGGATCAGACCCATCACTCATGAGGGTTGGGGGTTGTCTAACTTCTCCTCTCAACCTGCTCGCAGGCTGTGGCCCCTCCTGCCCTCTCCCAGCCCATCCCCTGCCTGTGACCCCTCCCGCCCTGACCTGCAGTGTCCCAGCCAGGCCAGTGGGGGGGGAGGGGGCAGGGGGCTGGGGGGGGGAGCAGCACGGCTATTGCAGGCAGTTGGGGAGGGCGGGGGGGCTGGAGGGCACTGACTTGGCCATGCAGCCATGGGTTGGGGTCTGGGCTGAGCTAGGTTTGTCTCAGGGATGGCCTGGCTGGATGCGCCCTGTTTGTGATCATCTGGGCCTGGCCTAGGCCACGTTAGACTAGCACCCCTTCAAGCCCAGTGCCCCTGGCTGGTTCACGGGAGGGCAGGTGGCTGCTTCCCTGCCCAGCTGGGGGCTGCCCTGGGTGGGAGACAGGCAGAGGGAGAAAATGCAGTTCCTCTCCGCAGCACGAGGGGTCCAGCCAGGTCAGGCACTCTCAGCCTATGTGCTCCCTGCAGCCCAGACTCTGCATTGCACCCCTCCTGTGCCCCTACCCATCTCACCCTGCCATGGCTGCCCAGCACCTGCCAGCCTCAGAGTGCCCCAGGCTTGGCAAAAGACGATCCCAGCCCCCCAGGGGGCTTGGAAAATGCCCAGCAGCACCCGTGTGACACGAAACCTCAATAACAGGCACCCAGAGCGGGAGTGACTCACATGGATTTGGGGGCAGAGCTGGGCATGGAACCCAGGAGTCCTGCCTCCCAGCCCCTGATCTAACCCCTAGACCCTACTCCCCTCCCAGAGCTCAGCACAGAACCCAGGAGTCCTGCCTCCCAGCCCCCCTTGCTCTGCCCATCCTTCTCTCCCCTCATGCTCCTACTAATAATTGCACACGCAGCCTGCTGGGGAACGTGCCCCGGCCCAGGTCAGTCCCATAGAGCCCATGTGGCCCCGTTTCCCCTCCCCCTGGGCCAGCTCCTGTCTCCCTGCTGGGCAAACGAGCCCTGCCAGCACTGTGTGCCTGCTGTGGACGGGGTGAGAGACCCTGGCACCTGGGATCTGCTGCTCGGGCCCAGCCCCAATCCGCTCAGCTGCGGAGCTTTCCACCCCTGATCCCCGTGGGGAATTATCAGCCGCAATTAACAGCCATTTGGATAATTGCTGCGCGGCTGCCAGGCAGGTGGGTGGCGAATTGGGGGCGCGGAATTAAAAAGCTCCGGCGGAGACACCTGCCCAACTGTGGGCTCGCCAGCTCCCCCCATGGCTGCCCTTACATGGGGCTCCGTGTGCACCCCGGGCCTGCACCTTGAGCAAGGGGGACCCCAGCCACACACGCTGTACCCCTCAGCCTGCCCCCAGAAGCATGAGGGGGGTGCAGGCCTGAGACAGCTGGCCATGGGCCTGGTCGGTGCCAGGAGGGAGGGTGGGTCCAGCAGACAGGCCCAGCCCCTCTGCCCTGGCTCTGCCATGCTCTGCCCCAGGCCCTGGTGAGGGCAGCTGGAGAGGGCTGCACGCATCAGCCCACGCAGTGGGCCTGGGGGAGCTGATCACTGCTGGTCCCAGCCCTGGGGGCTGGTGGGAATGGGGTGCCAAGATGCCCCTGTCTCCCAGTGCCAGCTGTGCCAGGGCCCCCAAGACCTTTGGGCCTGGATTGGGGGGATCATGACTAGGGTGGAGCTGGGACCCAGGGACAGGTGAAGCTGCACCAGGCTTGCAGAAGAGCTCATCCTGCAGAGACCTGCATGCAGACCCTGCTGGAGGGAGATTGCTTGGGGCAGAGCGGGGTGACTTGGGGGGCTTACAGCAGGGCTGGGGGGAGGCAGTGGGGGTAGCAGGGAGGGGGAGAGGTTTACAGTGACTGCAAGCTGTATACAGTGCATGGGTGGAGGGGCCAGGGGGTGATTTGGGGTGGGGCAGTGGGAGGCAGGAGGTGCAGGTGGGTGATACCCCCATGCAGCGGCAGTGCCCCCTGTAGGCAGCACAGGTGCATCCAATGGGCCCTAGAGGAAATATTGTCTAAAGATCAGAGTTCACCAAACCCAGGCTGAGCTAGCCCTGTCCCCAACCTGCCATGCTGGGGGCTGAGCGATCCCAGAATGATGCCCAGCGCACACCCCTTCTCCCGGGCAGGGACCCAGCATCTCGTCCCCCAGCCCTCCTCAGAGTCGGCCCCCAACCTCCAGGGCTGGGCGGGGGGGGGGGAAGGCGACCGGCCTGAGCCAAGTTCACAATTATGCAACCAGCCTGTGTGATGCTGCTTATCATCTTACCGCGCAGCCCAAAGCCGGCTCACCCGCCACTTTCGTGGCATTTTGTTGCCTGAAATTAAATCTCATTTCCTAATTACTGGGTGGGCTCCAGCTGCTGGGCTGGGCTGGGCTGTGCTGGGCTTTAAGAAGGGGGCAGTGTAGTGTGATCAGCATCAGTCACAGAGACAGCCTGTTGCAGAGAACCCCCCCAAAGCCTGACACCCCCCTCACCACAGCCAGCCCTCCCAGGCTGCATCTAATGAGGCTCACTCACCTCCCTCTGCCCTGCAGGAAACTCAGCCTGGCTGATTCCTACAGGGTCCATCCAGCCCAGTATCCCCTCTCCCTGCTGTGAGCAAACGTCA